CATTTTTCTCGACACGTGGATCAACAAGCTACTCGACATGAGCAACAACCCCAGCTACTCAGTCCTCTTGAATTCCGGTTTATTTGAGATGCACAAACTCAAGTTTTATTTTGACCTTCCCAGCCTTCATGCAAGCTTCCGATCACTAATCGGGGTACAATTCAGACTGCTTTGAGGAGGTAGCCAACATGCCCGTCACATCAACACTTCTGAGCCTTCCCAACGAGGTGCTCATTATCATTGCGAAGTACCTTGTCCGGCCCTGGAGCAATAGGGACGTACACACTTGGCGGGACGGTCCAAAAGCGCCGACACCTTGCACCGCAAATCTCTGCCTCACCTCAAAACGACTTCGAGATATCTCTCAGCCACTGCTCTTTTCACAGATCACTGTGAAGAGTTATCTGCAGATGTTGCGTCTTTTGCGGAGTCTTCTGAGAGCGCCCTCCCTTTGTCAGAAAGTCCAGTCTCTCAGAGTCGGTTACGGCAGGTCCAAGTGTTTCCCATCGCGCAAGGACTACGACGAGGTCCTGGCGACCTTCAAGGCTTGGGCAGACGCTATAAGCGAAATCCCAGGCAACAATATCCCGACCCTACAGGACATTTTGAAGCGCATAGAAGCTGTCACAGGCTTTGACTTTGTTCACATCGAGTTGATCAGCGATCTCGACGAACCAACCTTTGAAGCACTTCAAGCCCTGAGCTACTGTAATATCCGTCAAACCTGGGCTAACATAGACTTGGACCCAGAGAGCCACTATTCGAGACTGCAATTTGTCATCCCTGTCCTGTTCTACTTGGTACCAAAGGTGAAAGCGCTGTCAGTGATCTACAGGACGGAGGAGCACAAAGATCTCATCAACCATTGCATGGCCGATGCACCAAAACTTGACCATGTCATAGCCTGTCTGTTAGCTGATGATCATACAAGTTCAAAGTTTCTCCCAGAACTCGAAAGTCTGCATTTTCAGAGCAGTGCACCCACCACAGGGCCTCAATGCCATGTTTTCCTGCCAACGCTGGCGCGACTTCGCAGCATCAGGCACATGGGTGCGATTCTCGCAAGGCCTCTTTCCCAAGAACATTTCCAACTCATCTCCCTCGACACGTCGACTACCCTGACCAGGACCGCCGGTTTGTTGGATGTCCTCGAATCTTGTCAAGACTTGGAACGCCTGAACATTACTCTCGAGTCCGTGAGCTTTTGCGATGAAAGTCGAGACGAAGTGCAGGTCTTCATCGACGAGCTGGTGGACACTTGCCTGTGCCCGAAGCTCGTGAGCTTAAGAGTGGAACAAAAGGCCAATTACACTGCGAGCCCGAACGTCTTCCAGGGCTTCCTGCTCAACTTGCCCAGTCACTTTCCAGTACTTCGATCCTTGACTGTCTCTTTGTGGATGGAAGCTGAATTCGGTCCGACATGGCAGGCGAAGCACATCAACATTGGGTTGCTCCTGCCTGCCACCCTCGAGCACCTCTATATCGAGGCGACATCCGAACACGCGAGGCCTTGGTATGCTTCTCTGGACCCCAATTAGAAAGAAGGCGATATGGAAAGCTTAATGCCAGTGCTCGTCTTGTCTTGGGCCACCGTTGCGGCCGCAATTCGCGCTGGTCATCTCCCGTATCTCAGATACGGGTTTTTCCTGGACGAATGTCTCGGCGTGCTTCCCGGAGAGATCTCCAAGGTTGAGGAGCAGCAGGAAGAAACCGACGATGGCACGGAGGAAACGTGGACAGACGAGAGGGAGACAGATTCGTCGCCGTCAGGGTCGTCAGCCGAGTAGACGACTGGTGTCAACACATCTCAGCAGAACGGTTTAAGAGGTGTACGATGCTGAAATTGTCGATGGCCGCCGAGATCCTTACACTAATCGCCAAAGGGCTGTGGAACCTTCAAAGGGGGGTCAAGTACCGGTTACACCGCTGGGCAGGATGGGATACCACAGATACATGACTTGATGGCAGGTGGAAGGGGAAAGTGTTTGTAGCTTCGAACTTGGTATGACATTCAGGAATGGATTGATGATCCATATCGAATTTTTCTACTGATGCTGCGTTACGGTTATCTGTGGTGAACTACCTTATCATGATGGATGCGTGGAACGGGCTGCCGACATCCTCTCGGTGAGTCGGTGACGTCGTTTAACTGCGGACATGCAGTTCAAAGTCAATACTGGTGCAGGCACCAAAGTCCAAAAGCTTCTTTGATGGCCAGCGCAGCTTCTCGAAGGACCTTGTACCACGCCCAACAACATGCCGCACACATCAAGCTCGACTCCCTAACCCCAATGCGCTCCCCTCAATGCGGCCGCCCGCCCCACGTTCCAGACGACTGCAGCAGAGCTCAACCCCAGCACGGCCTAGCTCGGCTCCATGATGCGCTGGCGCTGTAAAAGGCCGATAGCGCAGCAGCAGGCGACACACTGGCTGCGGATGCACAGTAGAATAGGTACATCAACCAGGTACACGTCCGTAGAGGGTCCAAGCAACCGAGCCGGCAGCAGGCGCCCGGTGGTCTCCGATGATTCGGTACCTGGAAACCAGACGTCCGATCTTTGCTCTTTCTTTCTCGCCTCGGTCTGATTCGATGATCGGAAAAAAAACACGACGTCAGTCCGAGGCAAACGCACAAAGGCCGCCGCCACCGATGATGAAGCGCGGCATAATTGCCTTGCTTCGGCAGTCGTTGACGAACAAAAAAGCTAAATCGAGAAGAGCTGGCGCAAGGGCGAGATGGCAACACGCAGTGTCCGGGGCTGGAACGCCTTCTCCGAAAGGAAGGCCAATCAGCCGACCCAAGACCACTGGTGAAGAATCCAGCACAAAACGCTCAGGGGGCGTAGCACCTGCAGATGGAGGACATGATCAACCCCCGACGTCACCTAGTGCAAGGACGTCGAGGGGGGGGCACTGTCGGCCTTCGAAGGGTCCTAGCGGGGTAAGGGTCCGCATCGGCCAATGGTGTTGGTGGATGCAATCAGCCCTCCCCCACCAAGCATCCCGCTTTTGCTCGTCCCTGCCGCGTGACGCTGGTGGGGGAGGAGAGCTTGGTGGGATCGGGAAGGAATGAGTGGGCGACGAGTGGTTCCTGTCGCCGCACAAAGAACGCAGCGGCCGCCATTGGACAGGCGTGGGTCTGGTGGTCGGTCGCCACTACCATTTCCTCGCGACTGTCTGGGTGCTTGCTGGTGGACGCAGTATTCGCGCAGGGACGGCACGCGCAGAGTGGGCATCGTACCGTATCGTGCGGGTGGTCTTTCCCGATGGGATATGGGGAGAGGGGTTGTTTTATTTAAGGGTGGGAGGATTTCCGGTCTTTCGTCTTGTTTTCTCTTCTGCATCAACGAACAAGTCTTCAATCAACAAAACAAATCACTTACCTTTTTCCCACCAACCACCACACCAACCATCAAAATGAAGGGTGACTGCGGCTGCTCCGGCGCTTCCTCCTGCAACTGCGGCTCTAGCTGTATGTTCTCGTCCACCCCGCAGCTGTTCTGGCTTTCGTTGCGTAGAATACTAACATGTCACTTCCAGGCTCTTGCGCCTCTTGCGGAAAATAAGCATCTTCTCCGATCCGACAACCACATTACCACCAAACAACATGTTTCTACACTGAGCTTGAGGGAGATTGGGAGTCGTTTATGAGGAGGATGGGGGATGATGAGAAACGAAGTTAAAATACTATCAATCGAGAAACACAACTTGACTGACAAACTGGTTCCTGTGACTGTTCTGCTGAGCTCACTAGTGACTTTGGCTTTCCACCAACACAGCGGGCGTGGCACTCGACCCCGCCCCCACCATGACTCTGAGTGCTGACCCCATGGCATCCCCAAATGCTCACACGCCCAAGAGGATCAACTTGCGTAAAATCAACAAAAGTGCGTTGGACATTCGAGAAAGAGACCAAAAGTCAACATTCAGAGAATGCTCCAAACACCATCAGCTACCCAACCACTCCACCGCGCTTCGGCCCTTACCGCGCGCTACCCTCCGTCTGTCAGTCCACCACACCACAATGTCGACCCAGGCTCGAGCCCATTCAACGACATGCCATCAGCGGCCCGCATGATGCCCGTCATAGGCTCACCCGCCCGAACAACCCCTCTGTTACACATGCATGCGGCCTCCGCTGGCAGCGATCGAGACAGCTGGGGCCACTCAGCAGCCGACCTTCCCCTGATGTAGGGCCCAGAGGGGCGAGTCACTACGTATCACGAATCTTGTGCTGTCGGCCTTGGCTTGGCTGCCTACTTGGCTTTGGAGGAAACATGCGCATGTCATGCTTTTCAGAGTGATGTTGCCCATTTCTTGTTCAAGAGACTTTGCCCGCCCAACGGCTGCGACGAACCTGTTGTCGCGGCACAGCATCGACACATTGGGACATTGCGAGCCTTGACAGATAGAAACACCACAACCTACAAAACAGCAGTAGATGCCTCGTTTGCTTGCTCCTTACTTCCACTCCAGTCGCTCCCGAGTATACTACTGTAAACCCACCAGGCCGCGTCATCACCTGCACTCCCCTCAGCCAAGCATCACAACCCCCCAAATCCCCTCCTGTCCCCTCCTCCCCTCCGCCGAGACGAGGCCATCGCGGCCACTCGGCAGAAACGGGCAACCACATCTGGAGCGGTCTTGGTATGGCGGATATGGCACCGCAGACGCCCCAGCACCGTCTTGGCGGAGGCCTGAAGAGCGCCCACGTTGCGCAGCCAAGACGACACAGGGTGAATATCGTTCGTCCGGAGGCAGGAGGCACCATTTCTCTGGGGAACAAACGCGTGTCATGGCTGCTTCCTGCGTGTCTGGGGCAGAGGGAGGCCTCTCGTCGACGATGAATGTCTGTAATATAAAAGATGGAGCCAGAAGAGTCTGTAGGTTTAGAAATAAAAAGCTCAGTCAACTGAACAGCATAGCCTAGGAACTCTTCGTCCATAGTTTGCTCCTTTTTCTTGAAAACTCCTCTTTCTCCAGAACCGAATACCAGCATAATGCCCTTCCACGAGAGCGCCCAAGGCATCACGGTCGAAGACGGCCACATGCTCAAGGCCGAGCTCGCCAACGTCGAGGGCGAGTTCGTCGAAGCCGAGTTTGATCTCAACGATTGCATCGGCAACAACAATGGTGCTTTCGAGTGGGGTGGCGGCGGTGCGTACTCTTGTCCCTCTTTTCCCCCAGCTTTTCGCATTTCTGTCATGGTATCCCGACACGGGCGATTTGGTGTGATCATGTTTCACGAGACGTCATGCGCAGAGACGGACGAATTTTGCTGACAAAGACAAGGCTTCGCGAACTCGGCCGAGGACATCTCGTTTGAGCTCGAAGGCGACGACGGCGTGCCGATCCTGCGCGCGAAGCTGTACAATGTCGAGGGCGAGACGATTGATGCGGATATCAACCTTGCTGAGAGGCTGCAGAACAACGACGGTGCTTTTTCATTCGGTATGTTGGCCTGCCTTGGTACGTGACCTTTCGCTGACTGTGACAGATGGCCACCATGAGGAAGAGCAGCAGGAAGAGGAGGCGGAGCCTGAGGAGGAAGAATAGTCAGCTCTGCACTCCAGTAGTACATAGCTGCATCAGGGACATGTTTCTAGTACAATAGCCAAGGGTGCAAAAGCAACAAAGTTGCCTTGCTTCGTAACATGATATCCAAAGCACCAGCAAATATGGCAAATCACTGCACGTTTCAAATGTCGGCCCAACGAATTGACAGACCCAATATGTTACACAGTGTACAATGTATCCGTACATCCAGCCACCTCCGCGGCAGCCAAGCATCAGCAGCATCCCCCTCTCTACAGACCACCCTGGACCCACGACGCCTCGCGGTGCTTCTCCAGTCCCGCGTGTCCCGTGACGGGTAGATCCCTCTTGGCCAGCTCCTTCTCGATCAGCTTCCATCGGCCGACCTCCTTCTCGCGGTCAATCGGCGTGATGCGGCGCGCATGCACTGATACGTTGGGCAGCGCAAAGAGCTCGCCGCGGCGCTGCAGCGTCTCGACGAGTTTCTTGGCCGGCGGCGGGCGCACGATCAGGTTGAGAATGTGACGCACTGTCTGGGCGCGCGCGAGCTTGGGGTCGGGGAGCAGGTGGCCCGTCAGCTGGAAAACACGCTTGTTGATCTGGATGCTGTCAGTCTTCGTTTCAGTATGGGTAGAACAGCGGGGGACGTACGGCAAATTTGAGCAGAGGGTCAGCGAGAGAAATATCCTTCCACTCGGCATCCCATGTGGCGACAAGCTCCCGCGCCTCCTCGGGCGAGACGTGCTGTCCCAGCACGGTAACCTCCTCAGCCTCAATCGTGGCATCCTCAGCGAGGACAGCTTCGCCAGCAGTCTGCGCCTGCTCTTCCTTCCTCGCGAGCTTGAGCTGCCTCTTGGTCGGCGCCAGCCCCTTGACCACGGCATTCGTGTTGCCGCGCAGAGCAACGACGCCGTCCTCGGTAATCTTGATGCGGAGCGCCAGCGCGCGGTCGAGCGCCGCCCTGTCGGTGCCGACCCAGTCAGCGCTCAGCCTGATCTCGTCCCTCTCCTTGCGGAAGGCCAGGGCCTCGACAACAGCCTGGCGCGTCAGCACCTCGAGCACAGCAGCATCTCGCACGCGCTCGGCGGCAGCAAACGGCGTGTACTCGCTCTCAGGGCCCCAGTGGCCCTCGCGCTCCCACCAGCCTTCGTAGCCGCCGACCTCCTCGAGGCCCTCGGCCGACAGGGCGGGCGTGTAGCCGTTGATGCCGACATCGTTGACCTCCGGGGCGCGCGTCGGTCTGAAGCTCGTCTTGAGGCGGGAGAAGGGCCGGCTGGGGCGCGTGTTGCGGGAGGCGGCGTCGGGGAAGAGGGAGCCTAGGTCCCTCGTCTGAGATTCGAGCTCTGCGAGTTCAGCATCGTAGGCCTCGAGGTCCGGTTGTTGAGATGATGACGACTCGGACTGCTGGGCGTAGGGGTCTGCTGGGCCCGGGGCCTTGCCCTTCCAGAGGAGCTTGCGGAATCGGTCAGTCGTGTCGGAGGAGGATGGAGCGGTTGTCGAGATGGGGCGGAGGGAGACGAGGGGCGTCGAAGGCGTTGATGAGACCAGGAGCCTTGGGGCTCTTATACGTGTGACGCGACGCATTGTGGTGCGGGTGTGGGTGTGGGTGAGGAGGTGGCGGTGATGGATGGGAGGTTGTTGGATCAATTCCGCTCGCAAGTCAATCAGGAGCTTCTCCGACGCTGAATGTCGATGAACTTTTTCGATGTCGCGTGGGCCAATGGCGTGGAGTGCCGAGATTGGTCCGTGCGACAAGGCCCCTGTTGTAACACTGTCGCCTCCAAACTCCAAGATCACTAGCCAGAGAGGTGAGGTACTACTGACACGGCAGATATCATCAGCGTGAAGCCAAGTTCCTACTCCGATGCCCGCAAAATGCATCGATTATCTCTGCTCCTCCTACTGCTGAGCGCCTTCGTGGCTATCGCATCAGCGAACTGTACGTCGCCCCCTGCCTCCCCCAAATCCATACCTCCCAATAAGCTCCTAATGAAGAGACCCAGCCGCCCCGACATTCTGCAAATGCACCTGCTTCAAGAACAGCACCATCGTCGCCCTCGGCCCCCAACACGACGACCAGAGCCCCCCCGCCTCTCTCCGTCGCGACCTCTTCTCCTCGATCCTGCCGTTCGGCAACGTCCGCCGTCGCCACACCGGCGCCGCCGAGGACCGGCAGCTCGCGCCCCGCGCCGCCTCGGCCTCGTGCTCCCAGTGCACCAAGGCCTTCTGCCTCTCGCGCGGCATCGACTTTTGCCGCGAGGCCAAGGAGGACGATGTCCAGACCATGTGCTTCCAGCGCGACAGCAACAAGGACCGCGTCATTGTGTGGGGGTTCATCCTCGGCACGCTGGGGCTGCTGGGGTGGGCGGGCGTCAGGAAGGCTGCTGAGTCGAGGGGGGTGAATGGCTATGGGTTCTTGGGGCGGGGGCGGGCTTGAATCTGGTTTCTTCTTGCGAAGGGTGTTTGGCGTTTGGAGAATTGGGATAGGGAAGAGTATCGGTGTCGAGTTTGGTACGAACTGTTCATTTGTGTGGCACTGAACACCGTCAGAGAGTGTGGGCTTCATGTTGACTTGAGAGGTCACCAGTGTACAATGGCAGGGCATGGTTGTCACTTATCACGGTTTCGAATCCTTGGTCGGAGAAAGCAATGAGCAGCATCATCCGCACGCCAAATACCGTGGTCATTATCCGGAACACCATCCCAGTAGTCAAGAGCTACATGCAACTTTTTGCGTCTTTCCTCCCCCCCGCCACTTCGCAGCGCTTTTTTTTTTTGCTACCATCAGACCCTATCCTCGAAAACTCATGTTGCCTTTCCCATACAGCGCCAATCTTTACTCCTCCTCAAGGTGCGTCACCTTGTGCAATTCAGCACCATTCTTCGCGACGGTGCCGTTCTTCGCACGCCTCTCGCGCACAGCCTCGGCGAGGTCGTCGAGCACCGTCAGCGTCGACTCCCAGTCGATGCAGGCGTCGGTGATGCTGACGCCCTTCTTGAGCGCGGCGGGGCCCTCGGCGGGGACCTTCTGGTTGCCCTCGTTGATGTTGCTCTCGATCATGACGCCGACGATGGAGGCCTCGCCCTGGCGCAGCTGGTCGCCGACGACCTTGGCGACCTTGGGCTGGTTGCGGTGGTCCTTGTTCGAGTTGCCGTGCGAGCAGTCGACCATGATGGCCTGCTTCTGGCCCTTCTTCTCGAGCGTCGCCTTGGCGTCGGCGATGCTGGCGGCGTCGTAGTTGGTGCCCTTGGTGCCGCCGCGCAGGATGACGAAGCCGTGCTCGTTGCCCTTGGTGCGCGTGATGGCGGCGAGGCCCTGCTTCGTGACGCCCATGAAGTGGTGGCGCGACGCGGCGGCGCCAATGGCGTCAATGGCGACGCCGAGGTTGCCATCGGTGCCGTTCTTGAAGCCCACGGGGAACGAGAGGCCCGAGGCGAGCTCGCGGTGGAGCTGCGACTCGGTGGTGCGCGCGCCGATGGCGCCGACCGAGATGAAGTCGGCGAGGAACTGGGGCGAGATGGTGTCGAGCATCTCAGACGCAATAGGCATGCCCTTGGCCGTGAGGTCGCGGAAGAGCTGGCGGGACACGCGCAGGCCCTTGTTGATCTGGAACGTCGAGTCGATATCGGGGTCGTTGATGAGGCCCTTCCAGCCGACCGTCGTGCGGGGCTTCTCGAGGTAGGCGCGCATGACGATGCAGAGGTCCTGGTTGAGGCGGTCGGCGACGGCGCGCAGCCTGTCGCAGTACTCGAGCGCCGTGGCCGGGTCGTGGATCGAGCAGGGGCCAATGATGACCAGGAGGCGGTCGTCGCGGCCCATGACAATGTTCGAGGCTTCGTCGCGGCCCTTGACGACCGTCTGCATGGCCGCCTCGGTCATGGGGAGCTCCGAGATGAGGAGCGCCGGCGGGATGAGGGGGTCCTGGCCGAGAACTGCCAGGCCGTCAGCGGTGTTCTCGCAGCGGTATTTAGGTACGAGGTAAAGCATAGTGAAAGATGGAAGTAGACGGGTAATGGGATATGCCAAAGTCTTTCAGAGGGAGCGAGAGGGCATAGTCAGGCAGGTGATTCTTGGAGAAGCAAGAATCGTTCGAAGCTCTCGGTATCAACGCCTCAAGCTCTGCTTTTTGACCTTCCTCCCACCCCCTCTGACGTGGTCGGTCGGCGAATGAAACGAGCCTGGAAGGCACAGTTCCTCCACATAGCAAACAGTGAATGCTATTCATCGAAGAGAGAAAGAGAGAGAGACAACAAGGCGACGTCATTGCGAGCCATGCTGAACAATCTCAATGCCACCACTGGAATGCCAGGAGGATCACGAGGAAGGGATATTCAACGGGCCGTCCCGCAGATGAGACCTACTTCGTACATCGTCGGTTGTGACGGGTTCCATGGCGAGACCGGGCATCTTGAAGAGCTGCTGGTTGTGTGGTCTGGTGTGTGTGGTATGCGAGGGGCAAGGTTCGGAAGTCGTAGTCAAGATGGTCGTCGGTGTCGTCAGGGTCTGAGGCAGACAATCAGTTTGTGAAGCTCCAAGACAGGTCAAGAAACAAGAATTCTCGGGGGCAGGTTCGCAAACGAAATTGAAGAGACAATAGAGAGCAGAACACGAGAGAGATGACTCGAACGATAAACTGAGCAATGATGCTAAAAAAGTGCCCAAAAACGCAACGCTCAGAACAGTGGAACCCTCAATGCTGCGCAGCGCGCAAACACACGTCAAACAACTGGGTACAGTGTACCAACCAGCACAGCAACCGCGCAAAGAGAGAGGGGCAAACCCAAAGGACGCACCTTGGAAAACGGGCCGATCAAGGAGGTACCGGGACACAAGCCTTGGGACGAGGGTTTGTTTGATTTGGCAATCACCACGAGAGAGGTGGACTCGATACAAGAAAAAAGTTGGAGACTAGAAGTTCACTTGGTCACAATTGTAACCGCAGCAAGAAGGGCTTGCTTGCCTCTGGCTGCAATGACTCAGAAGAGCAGGCGTGGCGGGGAGAAGGTCGTTTGACCACCATGACCACCACATGTCTTTCCCCCTCCAAGAGGGCCCCTCACCAGAAAAAAAAATGCCAAAGGTGGTCTGCCTGACACCGGAGGCCCTTCGGAGGCACCCGTCCCGCTACCAACCCCCCCCCCCCCCCAAACTCGCCAGAGACAGGAAGCGGGAAAAGCCATCCACCGCGATTCTCTAATGCTATGCCTGTTGGCGCACTCCCGCTCTCTCCGAGCTCCTCCTGCACCTCAACCATATCCTCTGTTGCTCTGCAATCGCGGGGCACTTGACCACCCCTCATTCCTATGTACCGCGGTACCTACTTCCCCCTGCACGTACTCACTCGACGTCAAGGTACCCCTCTACCCAGACAAACACCGGCATCACTGACCGCAACTTCACCCACCCGCGCCCGATGCAGCCAGTCAATGCCCCTACCCAAGACCAATGGCGCATTCCCGCTTTGCAATTGGCGTCCTTCAGCTCGTACGGTGGCCCGTCGCGCGACTTTGGTGGGAACATACAGCAGCAGGCACTTGACAGGGTCAGGGTCGCCATAGAACGGGATCTGCCGCGACGTCATTGGCGGGGCTGGCCTCGAGCAGAGCCTTCCGAATCGGACCCTGACCGTCTTTCACCGAACTTCTTCACCGACGCTGGGCGGCCTTCTTGTGTTGTGATTTATGTACCGTTTGCTCGCTCAACAACCTGCGCCACCAGGACTAATGCAGCAAACTCGTAAAAGAATGTGATATTACACGCCCCACGACGAGTCGAGAGCAGAAGAATATGTTCAAAACGCTGCGCCAAACGCTCCCAATGCAATGGATATAACCGAATCCCCTCCCGAAATCAGCGTGGCCGTGTTTTCTATTGGCCCCATGTGAACAGCCCAGAGATGCAAATTCCCTTATCGTACCATCAACACGCTGGCAGTCCAGACAAGACGTCCGTCATGACGCTGTCTTCTTCCGAGTTCCATCCCTGACTGAAGCTGCCGCGAACCACCCAGTCTAGCCACGAGGCATGCTCTGGTGGATCCAGGTTTAGGTTCTGGCACCCGAGCAGGACTGCCATGCGCAGTATCCGCTCTTCCTGTTCCTGTTTGACAAAAGAAAACCTCGATCGTTTGCGTTGAGCTGCTTGGGACGGCGCCACCGCTTCTCACACCGGCGAATCCGCGCTGCTGTCAACCACAACATGGCCACCTTCCTAGGATACGATTATGTGGTTGAAGTGACCAGGCACCTTGAGACGGCACTTCTCGCAGTCGGCTCGGTAGCCAATGCTGAAGCTTTTCTTCATGCCCGGTTGCCACGTCCACGTGTTGATTGTGTGGTGCGACCGCATATGCCCCCGGCTGCGTCCTGGCGAAGGCGTGGCTGGTGCCGAGATCGTCTCCGTCAGGGGTGTCATGCCATCCTCGCCCTCGTCATGATCATGCTCGTGCTCGTGCTCATGCTCATGCATGTGCTCGTGTTCGGCAGCCGCCTCCGCATGTGTTGAGAAAGAGGGTGAGACGTCCATCATGCCCATGTCCTCTCCTCGAGGAGACAATGTGGATTGCTCGAGCCTCGCCGTCAACTGCGAAGGGAAGCCACTGCTGGCACCGCTCTCAAGACACATGCCCGGGCTTGCAGTGCGGGAGTCAACCTCCGAGATGGGCGACGGTATGCGGCGCTGGACGTCCGAGTGCCAGCCATCGCCCGTCTGCATGGTCCTCGGCACTGTGCGGTCCTCAAAAGCAGTGCTGTGAACGTGGCCCATGTTGGACAGGCCGTTCTGTTGCATAATCACAGGGCCCGGTCCACTCCATCCGGTGGCGCCGCGCAGCTGTGGGGCAAAGCTCGACTGCATGGGTGTTGGCAAGCGGCCGGAGGGATCAGTCTGGAGAGGATTCGGCTGTAGATGCTGGAGGTTCGGCTGTAGATGCTGGAGGTTGTTCAGAGGCGACATGGCTGTGTCCATGGCCATGTCCATGTCTCGGTCCACGCCTGGTGAGTTCATGCCCAGGGTTGGGGATGACGACCAGGGCGAAAAGTGCGAGGCCGGCGCCTCCGAGTCACATTCGGTATATATCTGGGAATGGGGTGTAGATGAGAGGGGAAAGATGGGCGTGCTCCGCTTCTGGGATGTAGGCGAGGTTCGGACGGGCAATTGCAGCCGTTTCTATCGAAGCAGTCAGCGTTGTGGCAGGCCAGCAGGGAGGCGAGGCGCCATCGACGGGAACATACGTTACGGTGTTCACTGAAGCCGCAAGATCCAACAGCGGGGTCGGGGTCCTCCTCGCGGAGCCTCTTCCGAGCGGGATCATGAAATGGCTGGGCGAACATGGTTGATCGCCGCAGGCTGTAGCGAAAGAAATGTGGTTTATAAGCGACAATGCCGAGATGATGCTGTCGCAAAGTGATGCACGATAATGCCGAAAGATGTACGGCAAAAGGATTGATCAGTCGATGACCTCGATGTACGACACTCGTCAATGAAGGCGAGGAGAAGAAGTATGTCGATAGGATAGCAGGTCCAAGAAAGCTGCTCAGCTGCAAGGGACGGCTAGCTGGGGTATCGGGGGGGGCTCCAAGTCGAGGCGAGCCAAGGCAGGTAGGCGGGGAAGGTCGTCAGCTGTGTCTTGGTTGGGTCGATTGCGCCTCCTATGAGAAGCTGTGGCGGAGTCGGCTCGCCGTTGCGGTTGCGGAGGCTCAGAAGAAGGGGGAAGGACGCCCACGTAGACACGTACGAGAAGGTGCAGGCAAGGTAAGATAAAGTAGATGAAGTTAGGGATAAGAAGCTGGAAAACGGAAATGATGAAGTAAAGGGGACAGAAGGGCTGGTGCCTGGTGCCGTCGGCAAAGAGATAGTAGGAAAGAAGGAAAGAAAGTGTTGCCGGTAGTGTCGTGAGTGCTGTTTTCGGCTGGTGCCGGTGGTTGGTGCTTTCCCGTATTCCGTCTTGTCTTGCCCGTGCTGCCTGGGATGGTGCCACCAACAGCGAGAGCTTGCCAAGAAAGCGTCCACAAGGAGTGAGAGTCCTACAACACCAAGTTCGAGTGTTCAGGAAACTACTCTTGCAGTCGGATCAATTCGGTGAGGCTTGATTCAATTGGCCGTTGAAGTCGAAGAAGAAATAAACAAAGAGAGGAAATCAGGCAAACTGCGTCTGTCTGGTGGGAACCCGCCCAAAGAAAAGAGTCGGCCAGCGTCAGGTCCTTCACTAATACGGAATAGCCAGAACCAAGCTGCAAAACCTTACGTAGGGTTATCAGGGGGGTGAAAGAGACATGAGGAGTGAAAGAAGAAGAAATAAGCACATCCGACCCCAGCTAGCCATGCAGAAAGGAAAACCAAGGTCCTAAGTAGTGCGCAAGTGACAAGTCCAAGCCCACGAAGCCACGCCAGGGAGAGGGAGACACAGGAAGCACACGGAACACCAGATGGCACCTCTGGATCGTCACGACAAGACAATACCGAGTCAAGCGAGCCTCAGGCGGGCGAAGCACAAATTCCGTGGTGCGCTCAAACTGTGAATCTTCTCATCAAAACAATAGCCTCGGCGGCCATTGCCATCATCGGCATGCCGCTTGGTCTCCGCGGTGACCTTCGCGAGCAGCGCCCTGAAGAGAAGGAAGCGCGGATAGCTTCCCCTTCGCCTAGGAGATTGTCTGTGCAATCCTCTGACCGCCGCCATGGAAATGCTCCGCTGGCGACAGGTCGGCCTGTCAGATGGCGGGTCTTGGCTATTGAAGGAGCATCGAGAGGGGCCGCTGTCTGAAGTTCGGAGAAGGTTCTACGTGGGCGTAAGGTTTCAGGACTGCTTCATGAGGGACCGGGGTGAACGTTATGTTATGTTGGGACGCCGGGGGCACAAGGTGGCAAATGGTCGCCACAGAGACTCTCTGGTGTTCAATGCAGTCGTCGGTCATCGTGACCTTGTGTTACAGCCGAGGTCATCGCAGATTAGGAAGGAGCTGTGTGATGATGTTTGTGTTGATGTTGGTGATGATTCTCTGGTCCATTAAGCCGTGATCTGGCGGGTTCAATCTACTAACATTCAGCACCACAACAGTGCAACACATACATCTTTAGCTATTGAAAAATACAAATGATACTTTGAGGACATGGAATAAATGATTTTCGTGTTTTGTGACTCCATTCTCATCATGCTGACGCGGTATGCTTGTTATTTAAGTTTGAACTGAACATCTTTTTGTAAGAACATAATGAAACCCAATTGTTAACGACAGGTCTTCGGCCGGACACACTCCCGAATAGTCTGCCATCATCACTAAATGAGATTTGATACATCTAACATCTAGAACATTCCTTGAAGGAACATGGCGTCGGGCCTGCCGAATTTGGGTGCTCACGAAACTGCTGGAAACGAAACATCAGGCTGAGTTTCGATGTGAGCCTGTCCTCAGGTCACCTCTTGGTGCACATGACCCAAGGTCGGCCATCAGTAACGCCCCGCATCCACTTGAAAAGACCAAGGCACTCATGATCCCTCAACATGACAGCTTCACCTGTCAAGGTAGTATTCCGTGCTCGCACAGGCACGGTCTCAGTTCTTCCGGCCTGGGCCAAAGTCGCGAACGCTGTCCGTGGGTCACGTCAGCCTCGCCCCGTCGGGATAGAGCTCCGGCTGCAGAAACCCCAAACGTCCCGCGAACCTATTCGCCCTGCAGAATTGACGACACGTCGTAGCAGGATACACACTCACACGCACATACAGAGACATGGAAAATCAAAATGAGCCGAACTGGGAAATGTTTCTTTGTTATTCCCCCACGACATCAAGTCCACCAGACGCCGTCTAATGCAGGTACATGTCGTACAACTTGTCTACAGTATGATGATACACGTTGCTCTGCACTCATGCTGTGCAGCTTCCACCGCCCCCCCAAGTTTTTGTACTGATCCCAATGGTACAGCAAATTACACCTGTGTCCGTGTGACGGTATCATCATCACCACCAGCCCTTCTTCTTCTCTCCCTCCAACCCTAACTTATCCAGCGGACCCCCTTGACGCTGAGCCTCCTTCTCCTTCTCGAACGCCGCGTGCGCAGACTCGCGAATCGCCTCCTTGCCTCCCTGCACGGCCTTGACAACATCGCTTCCCGTCGTAGTCTCACCCTTCGCCGCACTCGACGAGAAGGGCCACCAGCTTCCTCCCGTCTTTCCACTCCTAGCCTCGAGAGCCCTGAGCTCCTCCTCCCTCGCCAGCGCGTCGAGCACCGGGCTCGGCTCCTCAGTCCTCGAGGTAGCGGGTGCGGCAGCGCCCAGGGCAATGGACGCGCCAGTAGGCGGCGCAGGCGCCAGCAGAGGGGGCAGCTTGACACCCGTCTCGCGGGCCTGGGCGTTGGCGTCCTCGACGAGCTGGATCTGGTCCTCGGTCGCGGTTCCGTTGATGAAAGCGATACGGGCGGCAGAGAGGGAGTCGGCGTCCATGAGCTTCTGGGCTTCGGTAAAGTCTTCGCGACGCTTGCGGTTGTAGGTGACCATGTCGTAGACGGAATAGACGGAGATGAGGCCGGCCAGGGCTGTCATGCTGTTAGCTTGGGTGTTTACGACGACCGACCGTCCTGCCTGTAATTCTGAAGGGGAGGCAAAGTAGGATGCCTCCCGCCGAGGGATCCAAGAATGTAGGTGGCGGCAAAGGGTAAGGAGGTAGCCGTACCAGTGAATCCTAGCAGTCCTGCAATAGTGACGCGATGCGCAACATCAAAGAAACGTCGTCCACCGCCGACAGCCTTGTCAAATCCAGACACCTGGGCCTTTCGTGCGGCCTCGTGTGCAGCTCTTAGCCTTCGAACGCGCTCCTCAGGTGTCTCGCCACCCTTCTTGGGTCCATTGCCTGATAGCCTGCTCGCGGCGGATGGAGCTTTCGATGTAGCGGCGGATACGGGGGGTTGCTTCGAAGAGGCGTGCGGGGTGGTAGATGTGAATCGGGTTGCGTCCGAAGCGCTCCGGAGAGGCATGCGCGTCGCCATTGAGGGTTTTATCGGCATCTTGGTGGTGAGCTGAGGGATGGTGTTCAGGAGAGACGTTCGGGGTCTGCTAAAGATGCCGCCGATGATCGTTCCATTTCCATTTCCCGGCTGAGATTTTCAGGGATTGGCGCAGATGGGATTGGCTGAGCGCGACAGCTGGCAGCGACTGGCAGAGGCTGGCAAAAGGTCTTACTTCTGCCTCTCCAAGTTTTGGGCTGTGACAGGAACACTGTAGAGCTTGGATCATTGGAACAGTTCGTTTGTTCGCGAGAAATCAGGTAGCAGTTTCCACGACGCTTTATCGATAGTCCTAATGTTGGAGTATCGCGATATCCCAAGAGTTTTTTGTCACACGAGTCGAGCTAACAGAGCTCGATGACGACAACTCCAAAGTCATTCGGCTATCGAACAAGTCATGGCCATCATAATCTTATCACATAGCAGCAATCGAGGATTGAGCATCTTCACAGGACCATGATCACGGGTCGTCCAGGCAGTGAACCTGGGCGTCTGAATGGGAAGCGCTGGGCAGGTGGGTGAAGGACAGGCATGACCATGTCGCTTGCAAGACTGATGCGATAAAAGCGGTCGGTTGCGGCAGAACTGCCCACATCAGCCCAGCCAGTACGTACCCGCTTCCTCACGATGCTGCTCGTTCGTCAATGGATGAGTAGACCCCAGTCGGTCATGTGACCCTGCACCCTCGACCCAGTCCCCTCTCAGATCCGCTTCGTGGGTGTGGGCCCCACCCGAACAATTTGGGCAGGCACAGGAATTTTTAGGGCAAGCGTTTTTTGCCGACTCTGACTGTCGATTGCCTCCTCCTCCAACTAACCTCGCAGCAACCCTCATCAACAACTCGGTCGTCAGCAGTCCAAGTCAAAATGGTATGGCCCACGGCCACGGCGCATCCTCATCGTCCGTACTGACTTTCAATTCCAGGCGATTCAGGGCAACCAGAAGCTCCAGAGCAACCGTGAGGCTCCCCCCCACACCGATTCGATCCTCGACGACGAAACGCAAGAACACGACGACGAAATAGACAGACGACTGACTTTGTTCCTTCAGACTTCCGCAAGGATTGGCAGCGCCGGGTTCGCACCCACTTCGACCAGGTATGAAACGACCACGGGCAACGAGAAGGACTTTTTTTCTCGTGTGTATCGCGACAGAGGATCTGATATTTTCTGGAATTTTAGCCCGGCAAGAAGCTCAGCCGCAGACATGCCCGCCAGGCCAAGGCCGCCGCGGTCGCTCCCCGCCCTGTCGACTCCCTGCGCCCCATCGTGAGGTGCCCTACCATCAAGTACAACCGCAAGGTTCGCGCCGGCCGTGGTTTCTCCCTGGCCGAGCTCAAGGTACGACAAAACCAACCATCACCTCGACGTGAGGGGAAGGGAAAACAGCGACCCCTCGATCGTCTCCCCAAAACCCTACTGACACCCACCATAGGAGGCCGGCATCCCCCGCCGCTTCGCCCAGACCATCGGCATCTCCGTCGACGGCCGCCGCCAGAACCTCTCTGAGGAGGGCCTCGCCGCCAACGTCGCCCGCCTCAAGGCCTACCAGGAGCGCCTTGTCCTCTTCCCCCGCAAGGCCGGCAAGGCCAAGAAGGGTGACTCCACCGAGACCGACCTGTCCAAGATCGAGACCGCCTCCCACATCGCCAAGGCCCTGCCTTTCGCCCCCGTCGCGTCTGGCTTCTCCGAGATCAAGAAGTCCGAGATCCCCGCTGCCGTCGAGGGCGGTGCCTTCAAGGCCCTCCGCCACGCTCGCAGCGAGAAGCGCAACCAGGGCAAGCGCGAGAAGCGTGCCAAGGACAAGGCCGACGCCGAGGCTGCGGCCAAGAAATAAGCGGGAGGCGGCATGTCGTGAACGGCATCAACCACCTCTGTCTGCTCATTTCCTTTTTGGTTCGTTCGTTTCAGGCTGGGGCTGGCCGGATTGCATGGTATCGGTTCATTTTACGCGCAAAACGCTGCTGCACGCCTCCTTCCGGCTGCTTTTCGGACCATCCGTGTTTCCGTTCCGAGAGGAAGCCCGGAAGTCGGCTTCTTTCTTCTTTCCTGGCCTGGGCGTGTTGGGGTAGAGGGGGGAAGAACAAAGATACAATTGAGGACGCGGGTCAGGAGGCAGAAGAAGAATACCGCCGCAGCTGCATTCGTCCTTGGGCTGGCGTATGTACTCAGACGACTGCAATGGGAAAAGCATGATCTGAAGTGGGTACATGATATCCAATGTGAACTATGACCTTGCTTGCTGGATATGTCTGAACACGGGGTGATGTGATGTGCCATGTGAAGCGTCATGATTCGGAGATGTAGGAGTCATTTGACTACGTACGCTACAGATTCTTTGGCGGCAGCCCAATATTTTCGGCCATCCGACTCAGACTTGCTTCGCGCCGTCATCCTTTCGACCCTCGGCCACCAACTCCCCGCCTTCCTTCAGCATCTCTCCCAGTGCTGCTCTTCTCGCCGCGGGAAAATCCTCCCCAGCATGCTTGACCAGCTCGGACACGAGCACCAAGCCATTCTCCCGATCAACCCTGGCCATCCCTTCCGCCTGCTCCGGATCAACCTGCTGCGGCTGCAGCCCGTCCACGACAGAGGCAGCATCCGTACTAATAGTGACCTCGCCCCCGGTCCCCGCCGTCTCGACCGAACGCTCTTCACCTTCTCTTCTCCCCGTGATGCTCTCAACAAGCGCCTCCCACGCCCCGGGCACAGCAAGCACCTTGGACACGACGCCAGCGCCGTCCTCGCTCCTCGCCATGAGCGCAAACACAAACCACGCCTCGCTCCGCAGCACGCCAAACTTGGGCTGCACGACGAGGTGCGCGAGCGTCTTGCCCAGCGCCCCGTGGCGCCGGTAAAACACCTCCCGCCGTGGCCGCGCAACGTCCTCCCCGGCCGGCGACGACGACGGCGGCGGCGGCACGACGGGCGCGCCCTCGCGCCGGAACACGTACCCGTCGTCGCGCGGGTCCCAGTCCGGCAGCAGCGGGGGCACGGGCGTCGTGTGCAGGACGCGCACGACGGCGAGGGCGGCGCGCGCGGCCTCGGTGCGGGTGTGGGCGGCCTGGGTCGGGTCGGCGCGCGCAAAGACGTCGAGGAGGCGGTGCAGCAGGGGCTGGTTGCTGAGAGGCGAGAGGGGGTCGGGGGACAGGGGGGCGCAGAGGCGGCGGACGTTTTGCGGTGTCGATGTGAGGAGGAGGCGGGTGAGGGAGACGGCGGCAAAGTGCAGCTGCGGCGTCTGCATCGAGGTGTTTGGGTCGAGAGACCAGATCGCGGGCAGGAGGTCGGGGGTGAGCAGGTCGCCGAGCAAGGGCCGGGAGGAGGCGGGGATGGCGAGGTTCTTGAGGAGAGAGAGGGCCGAATGGAGCAGCACGGCGTCAAAGGGGCCTTGCGCTGGTTGGGCGGTGGCGAGAGAGACCTGGGCGGCGGTGATGGCGATGACGGGCGTGTGCAGTTGGTGGTTTGAGACGAGGGCAAGCGAGGCTTCATCTGATCGGGCGACGTTGCCGAGACAGAGGCAGGCAGCGGCTTGGAGGGAGGGATTCTCAGGGGACGACAGCCAGGACTGGAACGTCTTGAAGACGGGCGAGTTGAGTTCGTAGCATTGGTTGAAAGTCGGCAGGTAGCAGAGATCGGCCAGAAGCTGCATGAATGTGTTTCGTAATTGCTTCAGTTGGGCCTCAAGGTCTTCCTCGGCGACGACGGTAGGATCAAGCTTTGCGGAGATGTGGTAATATGCGCCCAGTAAACTCGGCATGCCGTATGAACTGACGAAGACGGTCTGCAGGCTCTCAAAGGAGAGGTATGACAACGCAACCAACGTCAGCTGGATGACATCGGCAGCATCATCAACAACAGCCGGACTGAGGGCAAGGTTGAGGAGGATCAGAGGCGTCTGCGGATTGGCGACGGTCGCCTCGGATTCTGACTGATTAGCTGCTGTCCATATATGAATGAGGTCACTACGTACGATGGCCAACAAGCATCTCAAAGATGGTGCCGATCATGCCGAGGAGATGCTGGCAGTGGGCGAACCGCGGGCTGGCAAGGAGGTCGACGAGCTTCGCACTGAGGCCAGCATTCGAGGCTGCGAGCTGCGTGGACTCATAATCCATCATGACATTATGGATGACCTGGATAGCAAACGGCAACAGACTGTCATCCTCCAGCTGAGCCAGTAGGGCTGGCATGTGATTGGATGAGACGACGCGCGCGCGGTTCTCATCTGCGTGTTGTCATCAGTGACGTCCTGAGCTGCGATCATGGGATGCCACGTACCAGCATCGGCACAGCAATTTCCAGCTAGTCGCAATATCTGTAACTTCAGAGACTGCCGTATTGTGTCGACGGCAAGGATGCCGAGGAAGAAGTCAAAGACGGCTGAATCCCCAAGCGGGAGCCTCCAAGACGCTGGCGCTCGTCAGCGCTGTGGCCGTGTCTCATGAGGAGAGATGGGTTCTTACCAATTCTGCTCCCGTTCGCGAGGATCTGGGCAACTGCATCGATCTCTTCAGAGCCTGCATACCACAGCTGCTGGACCGTGTGAAGGACATCTCCCAGGGCTCGCGTCCGCCGGAGCCGGTCTGGGTCTGGCAACAAGGCGGCATCGCCCCCCGCCTGGTTGCGGACTAACTGACCAGTGCTGTCGTGGGTCCAATTTTGTAACAGCGAGTCTACCTCTGATGCTGTTAATGTGTTAGCGGCAGCGGTGGTGTGCTGCTGGTGGTCGCCCGGCGTTACAAGCTCGTCCACGGCTTGAGGAATAACATTCTGGTGCAGATTCTCCATGTTCGGTACTTGTAAAATCAGGTCCTCGCCCACTATGACTCGAAGCCGAGTATGGTTCCTTGTAAAGAAAAATAGAGAACCAGAGCTATATTCTCTGAATGAAGGCGAATGTACTGGAGTTGTTGGGGAACCTCGGGCTGAGCTTCAAGTCGAAAACGGTCTCATGTGCTTGTGCCTGTGAGTATGGCGAGTCTGCCATACAGCGCGTGGCTGGTGTAGTCTTTGGATGTGGCTGTGTGTGCCACACCTCGATGCTAAGCAAACAAATGGGGCCTTCGCAGCACGTGATGAGAACACCAAACTAGACACTTCGAAAACGACCAGGTCGCCTACAACGCGTAATCCACCCATCCTAGGAAGTCGCTCTTTGAGGCACCGCGTGCTCATCATCACGCGAGCTCTCCATGGATCTGGATGCCAGGCGAATGCAGAGTGCAACTCGCCAAGCGGCAGCTTCCACGGAGTTTCGCGTCTGGGCTGAGGATCAGCAGAAAAGGTGCCATTCCACCAAGCTTGAAACGACAGTGATGCTCGGTTTCGAAGCTCATCGCACGATGTCTCAATGGTCGGAGACTATATAACAACCTCCTCGTCTTGTGGCAGGAGACCCTGCTATCATTGTCAGAACTCCAGTCCAGATATTTCAAATCCATTTTACGAGCCGAAATACCGCTTCAGGCACACATCCGACGAAACACAACACCTTTCTCGCTGTGATGCCTCCCAACAGTTATCCCCAGCGTGCCAACTCGACCAACCCACGGCTTCAACCCCAGCGTGGCCCACAGCCCGCCAGGACAGCCTCCACCAGCAGCTCTGCTAACGACCAGGGGAAGAAGCCCAGTGATGGGGCGGGTGCGCAGATGAACCAGACCCTGTCGATTGCCATGATGACGAGCCCCGTGAACCCTGTTCCCTTCCCGCTGTCAATACCCCTCGGCATCGCCATGCTCCTCACACCCAGCGGGAAAAAGCAGCCACCGAAGCGAACAGCATCTCAGGCACCGAGCCAGCGTCGCTGAGACGCATGACGGCAGAGGCGACCATGGGACGATCGTCAGCCAACAGCGACCACATCTGATGGAGCCACGCAATCCGAATTCACCATCACGCAGATACGAAACGCAGCCGACCTGGAACGCTCCCTGCCGTCTCTCTGTCGTCTGCTGTAGTCCTGTGTCAATCCCGAACCGGCCATCTCGGCCCTCGACTTTTTCGCACCTCTTTCCGATGCCGATACCACCGCGTATTGGCACGACCTTCGGCTGGAGCTTTTCGACCCATAACCTCTCATGTCGCTGTTCGTACTTACGCGTCCCACATCCGCAGCCATTGAGGCACTTGGAACCGTGCAGCTGGTGTGTAATCCTCAGCAGACGCTTGCCAATACGGCTAGATCCATAACCTACTCGTGCTGCCGGCGGAGAGAGGGCAAAATCTAAGCGGCATGCTCATGGCGCGCATGGAATCATTTGCCCTGACGGAGCTGGACATGTCATTCATGGCTGCTGCTGGACGTGGCAACTGACACGCCGGCGCGCGCGCTTTACTTGAGAGCTGGGTGGACTGAATGGGGCAAATGTCCGGATTATGCACCTTATGCTGACGGGGAGTTGGGCAAATGCTCCTTGTTCCACAAAAGTCTTGGACCAGCATAATTCCGATGCCCAATCCATCAGCATCTACAGCGTTCTTGTCGGTCAGATCCATCTATACCCATCTCATCGTCCATCGCGTCCCTCCGTATCCGTCATCTGCTGCCCCCTGCATGTCGCCCGACTGGGCTCGTCCGCAGCTGAGGCTCCGTGCAATCTGTCTTTTCCGCATTGGCTGGATGGCGCCCGCTGATCCGCGACCACGGCCTACCTGGGAGATGACCCCTACAGGTCTCTTCTCCAACTAACCCCCCCAAGCTGCTCGTGCCCCCCCTGCTGCCGACTCGGTTGGCGGCGCACGACAGCGACCACGGTCCGTAGGTCCGCCCAAGTGCCAGCGCGTACCAGGGGGCCTCCCAGTCTCTGCTGCAAGGCCAGGTCCAATCGGGATCTTTACCCTGCGGTGCGGCTTGCCCTCGCAGCGGCCGACCCGTTGGGAGCGTCCGGCCCGGGGCTCCCCCACGCGCGCCCACGGGAAGCTCGTGGGAAGACGCCCGATACTTAAGCCTCATCTGCCCTTTTGGGAGCGACGTTTGGGCTTTTTCGTTTCTGGTCTGTTGGCCTGTTTCGGGACGCCGAGGCTTGATTGATTGATTCTTTCTTTCTTTTCCGTGAGAGACCTGATCTCCCAGCCATTGGCGATCGCACTTTACTGATTCATAGAGCAGAAACCGCCTCCGAACGAAGGGCGCCCTGGCCTGTAGCCTTTGAAAAACATGGCTTCCAACCGCACTATCGTGTTTTCGGCGGTCGCTGCGGTTGTTGTCGGTCTGGGGATTTGGCATTGGCGAGACGAACTTGTGCCGGCTTCACAGAAGTGTAAGCTCTCACATTGTTGTGGCCTGAAATTGACTTTCGCCGGTGATCGCTTTTCCATGAGCTGGCCGTCAGCGTTGGTGTCTGTCATCCGAGTCTGAGGCTGACGATTACGCCAACTGCGGCAGGCAATAAGTCCAAGTTCAAGCCTGGAAAGGATGGACGTTACACCATCTCGGCCAAGGGAATCAAGGCCCAGGTAATACAAGGAATACCTGTGACCTATCTCATTACTCAACGTCACTGAATCTCAATCTAGTTCATCCCCTACGGCGCAACACTTACCAACCTGTACGTCAAGGACAAGCAGGGAAACGACGTCGACGTCGTTCTTGGGTACGATGACGTTGATTTCTACCGTAAGTACTCAGCAAGTTGTGCACACTTTATTCTGACGTGGCCTAGCCGTCGACCCTGGCCACCCTGTGTACAATGCGATTCCTGGCCGTTACGTCAACCGCCTGAAGGGCGCGCAATTTACCATTGGTACCAAGACGTATCACACGGAGAAGAACGATTCCACCAACACTCTCCACAGCGGCGGCAACAACTGGTCGTACCGCTTCTGGGATGTGACCAGCCTCGCAAGCGACTCTATCACCTTCTCCATCTCTGATGCTGAGGGCGAATCCAAGGGCTTCCCTGGACGTGTAGAGGCGTCCGTCACCTACAGCGTGGCTGATGGCAAGTGGAACATTAGGATGGAGGCCACTTCCCCCGAAGCCAAAACCCGTGAGCCGTAGCGTATGCTCCCGTTGCCCTCCTCGTAGCTGACATACCCAGCGCTCATGCTCACCCAGCACACCTACTTTAACCTTGAGGCCTACCGCAATCCTTCTACCGACAATATCTGGTCCCACACGCTGCATATGCCCTACGCCAAGCGCTTCCTCCCGATAGACTCCTTCGGCCTCCCCACCGGTGCCATTGCTTCCGTGACCCCTGGCCACATTATGGATTTTGCCTCTCGGCCTGACCTCCCCTTTGGCCGCGCCCGCGACACCCCTGACTTTGCCACCAACGCCGGCACGGAGGGGTACAACCACTTCTGGCTGTTTGACGACGTTCCCTCGCCCGAGACGGTCGTCCTCACACTCGCGAGTCCCTGGAACGGCATCAAGGCTGATCTGAGAACGGACCAGCGCGGCGTGCAGATCTACTCTACGGGATGGAGTGATGGATCTGCTGGGCTGAAGAGCACGCAGGGAACGGACAAGGTGAAGACCATGGGGCGAAGCTCGGCCGTGGCCATTGAGCCGCACGACTTGGTGGACGGTGTCAACAAGTAAGTTATTGCCCCCCATGATCGGAGGTGCGACGGGGAGCGAGGGCACATGCTGATTCTGTAGCCCGCAATGGGGACGCACCGACGCGCAGATTACAGGGCCGGGAGAGACGTACACGTGGGAGGCATCGTGGGAATTCGGTCTGCTGGAGTAGTCAACGTTGCAGCAGGCGTTCGTTCTGAAAGATTGCTCCGTCCTGAAAGGTTGATAGGGCGGTAGCATCCGTCATGCCTTTGGAAAACTCTCGCTGCTGGATGTTCACGCCCGAGGACTTGACGTCTCCGGCATGTGCCGTTTCGCCTGTTTATCTTCTCCCGCAATCTTTGAGCACAATGCCACTGCTAGGCGTGCCAATAAGTACGCCGAACCAATGTTTTGATCTTGCTAGAAGTCATTGCTAGGCTCTACCGTGAAATGTCGAAGACCCTTTGAAGACCATTTGGCTCTGTGAGTCCGAGCCTTTTGGTCGCCTCTCGTATCGATTTTGGTCCTCATCATTTGCCCAAGATATCAATGTTCGCGCCCGACCCCTGAGTTGCACCTAATGGTGTATCGAAGTGACTTCGGTCATTATGTCTTCCTCTTCCGGGTTGCGTCTGATTGCCTCCAGCCAGCTCAAGCTCGAGGCCGACCCTCACGTTGACTTGTTGATCTCAATACTTGCACAGGTCGTTGAATCCAAGGGATGTGTTCTCCACATATTTGTACGTCTGCTTTCTCCATGCCAAAGGCTCGAGCTTAAGGGCTGATCAATATACCCCGCGGTCACGCGCACGTGGCGTGTCATCCTCGAGAAACAAGCTTTGCCAGGGGGGGCAAGCCGCGTCACGGCATCAATCATGCAGGTACCCGGAACGCGATGTCTGAGGGGCAATATATCATTGATCGCGACTCTAAACTCTGCCCTGAAAGCTCCCAGGGGTTACAAAAAAGTGGCCCGCACCGGGCACCATAATACCAGTGAATAAAATAACAGTCCCCGTCTGCGCTCAGAGGGCGAAGAGGGCCGCTCCGCCGAGAATACCGGCTCCGATGAAGTTGACGCCCAGAGTAGGGGCGGCTGCCTTGGAGCTGCTGGTGTGGCGGGTCGACGAGGAGCCGGTGGCAGTGTGGGTGGAGGATCTGTAGGAGACTGTTGTTAGCCGTCGAAGCCCATCGACGAGCCCCGTAGGACCTAAACGTACCCAGTCTCGACAGCCGTGGTGGTAGTGGTGGTAGTGGTCGCCAGGGCGGGAATGGCAAAGGCCGCGGCGAGGAGGAAGTTGAGCTTCATGTTGAAAGAGCGTGGTGAAGTATAGATGTGAGATATGGAGTCGGTGTGCTGCGGTGGGTGAGTATCTTTCGAGCAGAGCAGGTCAAACTGGGGGGCTCCTTTATACAAATCCCCCCCTTTCCACTCAGCAGTGTAAGCCGTCGGCCTCCTCACGGCGTTGGATGGCTTGTGACGCGGCAAGCGGCAAGCAGGGCGGAATGTTGCGCATGGGAAGGGTATGATATTGCGTACGCGTCAAGTGCGTGGGGCCATGGCTCGACCTCCAATATTGCGATCGTATTGCTTTTTTGCGACTTATCACAAGGAATACTCTCAGCCACTGTCAGGTCCGTCAACGCGTTAGTCCTACTCACACTCGCAAAACATGCTGGTCCGCGTCTATGTTCCTGAAGCCGAGGAGCCGCGGTATACATGTAGGCGACTCAGCTTGCGCCCTCCCCACGAGGGAGCCTCTTGTTCATCTAGTAAGTGTTCACAGTTACGGGTGTGCCTTCTCACCCAGAGAGTCGTAATTGGTATTCCTCGATTTGGTCGCACATCCTGGGTACGTAGATTTCACACTGTCCAGAGACACAGTCCGGCCCCGAATGAAGCCTACAGTTTAGAACTGATCACCGCATCACGGCATCAGAAAGGTGTCCAGGCAGCAGCATAACCTGCCAGACGCCAACGAGATTTGAAGTCAAAACCCGGCACTAAGGTAGGGAGGTAGGCGAAGGTGGAAATACGAGTCAAGCTTGCCAGAAAGAAGATCCGCTAAGAGCAGCAGTGGCTTTAGTTCGAATTGTTACGTCTGCCTGATTGGCTCAATCTGTACAACGATAGACAGTAATTTGCGTCTTCCGTTCATGAAGCTTGGCATTATAGGAATGAGAATAGCTGGGGTAATCCTGATTTTGCGACGATTTCTAGAATCAAAATTGAGTGCGAATGAAGGTCGCATTACGACTGCTTTGCTAAAGATCGATGTGTGACTGGGCGAAGGGCTAGTACCCGCTGAGACAGAATTCTCGTATCATTGCCGCTGTTCCGGCCGATTCTCCCGACGTACGCCGGGAGTGGAATGGCCACAAATAAGTGGCTCCGGCGTGTTGCATTGACTGCCTGCCCTCAGATAGCTGTGGCAGTATATGCTGCAACCTGATCCCAGGAGTTTCGGTGCTCCCTTCTTTCCATGTGTGACGTCTGAGCATGATCCACATGGCATTGTTCTCAAGTTCAGCACTGCCACCGGCGTGAGGCTTGTGGATCGTGTCGGGGACGCTCGTCTCCTCACTAAGGGAGCCTACCGAACCACCAGTGGCAGGCAGCAATTGTTGCTATTCTGGGACTTGTCACCAACAATGAGCATTTATTTCAAAACTTAAATGTTAGCACAGCATACTGAGTGAAACCAGAATTGGTTAGACGCTGGGAGGGTGACGGCATTCCCCAAGGCTCTCAAATCCTGGATTGGTGACATTAGTCTCAAAGAGGCAATTTTTATGTATGGCGGGCGATTGCAGGCCTTCGCATGTCTGAGTCGACCTGCCACTCTCCCCACATTCGGACCCTGATAAACAACATCTTCAGGGGTCATCTAAATTCGCCAAGAAGTCTGCCTTGGTAGTGTTTCATCGGCACCGAAAGCTTGAGGAAGCCGCGACGACGGATACAAGGTCAACGCGGTCTCGTTCACTCGAGCAATTTAGCAATTGTTGACCAGCCTGCAGACGCGTGCAGTAGATCGAAGATGAACAGAGTAACAGATGCAGTAGCTGATCAGGGATTCATGCATATTTGCGAGACGCGGGGGTGCCTCTCGGCAGATTGGACCGTCCCTAAATCGACAAAGCTATTGACCTCTGACAGTGCTCTTTTCTACATTATGAACATCACGATGTAACTGAAATGATTGTGCGTCCGTATTTAGACAGGGCGCGTTTCTCTGATTGAATCCATGCGTGCTCATAGTTCTTTAATTGTGCCTGCCTAGAGCTGAAATTGGAGTACTAGCAGGCTGAGCCCGGGACACGAGGGCTTAAGTGGTATATTCAAACAACTGCCACGTAGATCTCCGTGGCTGCGAGGACGTGAGCTCCAGATGTCTTTCTGCCCATATATCATAGTTGACCGCGTCGCAATGTTGTGAGATACCCATGCACTATGCTCACAGCTACTCTGTGACATAGTCTGTCGGCCTTGACATGGGAGGATGTCGTGCGTGGTTATTTAGGCAGTAAGAGTATCTTCACACATCTGTTAGCTTCACCATTACTCTCTGTAAGCATCTGATCATCAGCCGCCCCGATGTGGTTATTGAGCTAAATTTTCAGGACCATGACCAATCAAGACTCAAAACGATGTACACCACCTCGTGGCGCTTTCACCAGCGCTTGAAGCACAAAGTGCACCTAGATTCCTACACGTAAAGGAAGTTGGTGTTACGTATCTCGAGTAAGTCTGAGTTTGAATCGTCTTCACCCTCTGTTCGCCCTCTTTTGCAAATTCGAATCTTTAAAAGGGAATTGTGCGTTGGATGAAAAGATCTAGACTGAAGGACAAGAACATGTCGCAGCATCCAGACCGGTTCACGGGCCAGAATGGTCATCTCATCATTAACAGAACTCACGGCAGATGCCAACATGATAGTATTTACTTCTTAAGCTCATGCATACACCATCGAACATCCGAGGGAAGTCTCCAGTAGCCAGGCAAAAGGTATAACATTGGCTTCTCGTCAGGCATAAGGGCGATTGAGATGTTTCGTGCCTTTGATATGCCTCGTATGCCCGAATGTGAAAGGATTACAACTACGAAAGCAGCAACAAATCATACATCTAGGAGACGATGGGGTTACAGACACTCTCACGACGATGGCACGACCGGGTGCCCAAATTCGGGCCAAAAGGTGGATTGGAAGAAAGCCTACCACCATGCCTGGCATGATATTTGTTGAGTGATTAAAGTGCAACGTGACCCGAGGATAACTCCGGAAAGCTGATGGGTCGGACGAGTTCATGGCCCCTCTTATCCCCAAAGGACTCCGATGGAATAGGCAAAGCCATGACCAATTGAGGTGAGTGAACGGATTAGGCCTCCAGCAGCGAGCAGTGATGCGGTCACGATGCATCGGCAGCAATTCAAACAAGCGATTGACACCGCCGAGCGGTCAGACTCGGGCCTGCTTTTGCGCACCATTCAGGGCGCCGGTTTTGGTCTATCAATTACCTGATTTGGTCGTGATGATCTCTCATCTGCACTAGGCTCCCCACAGAGACGACCGGGGAACACGGAGCCGAGAGGCCTCGGCCTTCCCCTACCCCCAAAGGGAAAACTGTCGGCAGTCAAACGACCGAGATACAGGGTCCACACCATGATCAGACGGCTTGAGTATGGGGTAAGCACCCATAACCAGGGTATCGATGGTGGGCTACATGCGGGGGCGGAGCAATTTGAAGCTTGAGTCTGGGGTTCTTCTGACTCTCCACAGAGCGCAAGCAGCACCGGACCACAGCCAAGACCAACTCCTTCTTGGACAAGCATAGATTACCAACTCGTCACTCGCACCGGCCGGAGCATTCTGCTACCCCGCGCATGACGTATGCCAGTCGACCTTCACCTTGGCCTAGGTGAAGCCGTTGATCTTCGGTCCGATCCGGGAGAGACCAAAGTCTTGGTCGGAATAAGCTCAATCTTCCACGGACCTGATGTGGGGAGATGACTGACATTGTACAACTGATCTGCGGGGCGCCACATCTTCTTGATCATCCAGGAAGTTATAAAGCTTCCCGAGCCCTGCGCATTGTTTAACCCCTTTTCCTCTTAGGAGACCACCATCTTCATCCCAGCAGTGGCCAAATTGTGTGCCTGTCATCAGTAAACATGAAGTTTCTCAATATCTCTGTCGGGCTTATCGCCTCCCTTATGTCTCTCAGCACCGCAAAGTGCGAGAAAGCCTGGCCCAAAGGTCCGTTCGTGACCTCTGGACGCGACATCCACAACTCAGACGGCGAGATCGTGAGACAAGCCGGAACCAACTGGCCTGGCCACGGCGAGGTCATGGTACCTGAGGGTCTGCAGTACCTTTCTGTGGAGCGCGTCTTGTCCGAAATCAAGAGCCTTGGCATGAACGCCATCCGATTGACCTTCGCCACGGAACTTGTTGACCAGATCTATGCCAACGGCGGTGAAGATATTGACATCAAGACCGCTTTCCTCGAGGGTCTAGGCACTGAAAACGGAACAATCGTCTTAGAGAAGGTCCTGAAGAATAACCCCAGTTTCACTCCCGAGACGAAGCGACTTGAGGTAAGATCTCCTCAACCAGCTTTTCTAGCATTTCCTAATCTCATGACTAGGTTTACGATGCCATTGCCGCAGAGTGCTTGCGCCAGCACATCTACATCACCCTGGACAACCACATTTCTTCTGGCGAGTGGTGCTGCGGCGGTGAGGATGGTAACACCTGGTGGGGAGACACCAAGTTTGATGTTGACAACTGGGTTCGCGGAGGCGCCTACATGGCCGCCCATGTAAGCTTACACACTGCGAAAATGAGGCTGAACCGCTTACTGACTGCTCGTAGTCTGCGAAATGGCCTGCCCTCATCTCTCAGTCTCTGCGCAACGAGCCCCGTCCTCCCAAGAACAACGATGCTCTGCTTCAGTCGTCCTACAACTGGCGCGACTGGTACAAGTACATGCGAGCTGGAGCCGACGCCGTCCACGCCGCCAACAAGGACGTCCCCATCATCCTTTCAGGTCTCGACTACGACACCTTTGTGACTCCCGTCTTCCGCGGCACCCCCCTCGAGCCTAGCGACCAGGTATTCAGCCGTGATGACTTCGTCGGCTACGGCGAGGACAAGTTGATCCTTGAGATCCACAACTACGAGACCAACACCAACAGCTGCGAATCGCTGAGGTACAACCTCTACAACAAGGGCTTCCAGGCCATGAACGCCTCCGACCCTGCGACTGTCAACGTCTTCCCCGTCCAGCTGACTGAGTATGGCCACTCTATGGAGGACGGTTCCTGGAAGACCAAGGTCTACCAGCCATGCTTGGCCGAGTATCTCCCCGAGGTCAAGGCCAATTGGTTCATTTGGGTGATCGTGGGTCGCTACTACACGCGCCAGGGTGTTCAGGAATTCGACGACTCCTGGGGACTTATGAACCCTGACTGGTCTGGCTGGAGGAACCCTGAGTACGTTGAGCAGATGCTCATCCCGCAGGTCGCTGCGACTCTCGCCTGAGCATGAGGATGGAGGATGTGTACATAAGAAATGAATTTGATGATAATCTTAATGACCACATGAATCGTATTGCGAATGTGCTTTCTCGTATTGTAGAACTGTGTACCACCATGATCTCGACCGTGATGTGTGGTTTGCGTCCGAGAGCATTGAACGAGCTGTTCCTCGATTGAGGATCTTTGAGCGAGATTATTGCGTCGCCAACACAACATTTCGAGACTTGGTCTACGATTCGATACAGAAAACTTGCTGCCATTTCACGGTGATGGGGCGCCTGCAATTCCGCTGCACGCTTGTAACTCAAGAAGGAAGGCGGATTCACGTCAATCAAGGCACGCGACGTATAAGTAGCAGCGTACAGAGCATTACGCTATGTGTGGACCTCGGATGTCTTGGGACGGTCGACCAGAGGGTTGTTTTGTAGGTGGATCTTGGAGTGGGAGCTTCTTAATAGGGACAAGTGAGTGTCCCCTCATCCCCTGAATACGAGCTCGGGATGGGCTCCTAGCGATTATCAGAGGCTGTAGGGTCACCTTCACACTGAATCGCTATCCACCTGATCTCGTGCAACGAACTGTGGCATCTCATGTGCGCACGATGAACTTCGTTTATGCAGCAGCATACAGGGACTGGCAATTCGCCTGAGGAACAAGGGCAAGATTCTCATCATGCTTGAGGGGTTGCGTCTTGGCCCTGGCCATGCCTCTGACCAATGATGGATTTAAAGGCTGCTCGACGCCAGTATCATGATACGCAACAGAGGAAGTTCATTTCGAGGTCCTCAATTGTTATTTTTGTACGATGCGCATCGCAGCGGCTGTTGTCTCGGTGCTTGCCCTTGCTGGCCCTGGCGCTGCCAGAAATAGGCGCCGGGATCTTGGCCCTGACATCCCACCATCCGCTGATACCGCGACGGCGCCAAAGAAGTTCATCCTTGAGCTCGACCAGAACGCCAACAAGAATGCGATAGTCAAAGACCTTAATGAGCGTCCTGGAAGTCGCGTCCTGAAGGTCTTCGACTCCGAGGTCTTCAGGGGCGTTGCTATTGAGTCCGACAGCGAGAATACTGACTCGCTCGAGGCTATCGTGCCCGTCCGCAAGGCATGGCATTCGAAGCCCATTCAACTCGTTCCTGTCATCGCTGGAGACTCCTTTAGTGACGATGCTCAGGCTCTCAACTACTCTATTCATTACATGACGGGCGTGGACAGGCTTCACGAGCAAGGCCTTTTCGGTAAAGGCGTCAAGGTTGGTGTCGTCGACACCGGTACCGAATACACTCATCCCGCTGTGGGTAAATTCTGGAGTCAAACTTGAGAACAAACACAAACTGACTTTGCGGCCTAGCTTGGGGGATGTCTTGGAACAGGATGCAAGGTTGCAGGTGGTTACGACTTTGTCGGTGATAATAGTGCGTACCAGCTCCGGAGACGTTTCTGCGGAGTCGCTGAAGAGAGACAGACAGTTGGCCATACCCCGGAGAGGAGCGACAGCCCGACAACGATCCGATGGATTATGGTGGACATGGAACCCATGTTGCAGGCATCATTGCCGGCAAAAGTGATGAGTAAGTCTGAATCGGCGTCTTTCCTTATACGCCAGTAGCTTTTGCTCACCATCAACCAGGTTCATCGGCGTTGCCCCTGAAGCATCAATCTATTCGTACAAAGTGTTTGGGCCTAATGTATGAAAGTCGTTGAAGAGCAGGTTAAACACTTCTTAGTAACAACACAACAGGAAGGCACTGGCGAAGAGGTCTTGATCGAAGCATTCCTGAAGGCATATGAAGATGGGGTGAGTCTGTGCAACCACAAGTACTTGGTCAAAGCTGACCCCGTTCAGATGGACATTATCACAGCTAGTGTTGGCTCTATCGGCGGCTGGAGCAACAATGCCTGGGCACTCGTTGCCTCGCGCATCGTGGACCAAGGCGTTGTAGTGACCATCGCAGCCGGCAATAGTGGCGATGTTGGTCCATTCTTTGCTAGTAGTGGCGGATCTGCCGAGAAGGTTCTGACTGTCGCTTCTGTTGAAGCCTCGATCGTTGCCGCCCGGCAATTCGCGGGAACCTTTAATCTTGACGGGCACTCGAACAGAACCATCCTGGGATACCGTCCCGCTGAGGACAAATTCCCATCGACGGTTGTGGACTGGCCAATTATCCCCATCACTCTCAATATCACTGTTGAGGGCGACGCATGCGAGCCACTGCCTGAAGACTTCCCCGACCTTTCCCAGACCGTTCCCTTGGTACGTGTTGGGGGTTGCGAGACGTGGCAGAAGCAGCGCTGGGTCCAGGAGCGCGGCGCAAAGCACATTCTCTTTTACATGGACGACAATCCTATCATTTCGTTCTCTGGATTCGGATGGGAGCAGAGCCAGTGGGGTCTTCTGTCGAAGGACGCTGGCGAAGCGATCGTCAAGACTGTCATCGCCGGCGGCAACGTGACTGCGGACTTCTCGCTTGACCAAGACAGCAACTACGTAGCTATGGTCAATGCTGGTGGCGGTCGCCCATCTGACTTTACGTCTTGGGGCAGTAAGTCAGCACAACAACCAGACCTTTGAGGGTAGCTGGCTAATTTGTGTAAGGCACGTTCGACCTCGAGCTCAAGCCAGACATCGCCGGACCAGGCGGAAGGATTTTCGCACCGTTCGTCGGGCATCGTTACCGTGACATCAGCGGTACCAGCATGGCAACCCCGTACATTGCCGGCGTTGCGGCACTATACATTGGAAAGCATGGTGGTCGTGCTAGACATGGAGCTGCCTTTGCCCAGACTCTGCACGCTCGCATCGCCAGCTCTGGCCGTTCCCTTCCCTGGTCCGACGGCTCGACCAAAGACTACGGGCTCTGGGCGCCGCCTATTCAGGTAGGTACTGGTTTGGTCGATGCTTTTGCAGTCGTAAACTATAACACACAGCTCTCCTGGGAGAAGTTCTCGCTCAACGACACGCACCACTACTCCAGGTACCACCAGGTTGATATCACCAACAGTGGCGAAAAGGAGATTGAATACCAGTTCAAAGTCCAGGATGCTGGCGGTTTCGAGTCGTACTGGACAATTGACTCCGCAAGCGCCGATACATATGCGGTACCCAGGATCAAGGACTTTGTCGAGATTGAGCCCTTTCAGATCCGTCCCCAGGTTAGTCTACCGTCAGGAACGTTCCGCGTTGCACCGGGACAGACCAAGACTGCCAAGTAAGTTGACCATTTGGCCATTCCTGAAAAGTCTGAAAGCAGTGTTGGTAATATTGTGCAGGTTCTCTTTCAGCGTTCCAGAAGGGTTGAACGCTTCTCGCATTCCCGTGTTCGGCGGCAAGATCCTCATCAGCGCCAGTAACTCCGAAGCACTCTCCGTTCCTTACTTTGGTGTGGGAGCCAGCATCAAGCACGAGTTTGATGACCTGTTCTACACGTCGGTTGGTTACCCAAGAGCCGTATCCGGTGTCAACCGTACGGATATTAAACAGAAGTCAAGGTGTGTTGCCGCGCACGTTTCCCAGCAAAGTAGCCCGCACTGATGAGGAGTAGCTTCACCTTTGACCTAAGCTTGGGCTCTCAAGACTTCGTCAAGCTGGTGCATGCTCTTCAATGGGGCACCCGAGAGCTGCGATGGGATGTACGTCATCAATAAGGGACAGATGCTCGTCTCAGTACGAACTTCTTGTTGAAAACTGTTTGCTGACGGAATGCCAGATTTTTGAATCCTCGTACCGCGAGCGCCGGTGGAAGTATCCCCCAGTTGTGGGCGAGAACAACTACGTAGGGTCTGTGGCCAGCTTTGATGTCTACAACAACCTCAACTACCCGGTCTTCGACCCGGCTTCCAACGACGAGAACAATACGTTTTCATATCCCCTGCAGGATGTGTCGCGTGACGCACCTTACGAGTCGTGGTGGCTCGGCAGGTTGGCCAACGGATCAACAATCGCCCCGGGCAAGTACAAGTGAGTTTTTGTTCCCAATTCAGAGATCACCATACGGAGCATGGTGGGTTGCCGAGACGCGGTGCTCGGTGGGTTTCATACCGAGATTGACCGTCTTTATAGGATGCGATTTGCTGCGCTTGCGCCTTTCGGCAACCCCAAGGCTTCGGACAACTGGCACGTTTGGGACGCCCCTGAGATTGAAGTGCTCTGAGTCATATCAAGTGTCCGCCAGGTATGCCTGGTTAACAGCGGTATTTAGAACATATCTTTGGGGTAAGAAATGTTAAGGTCTCGGCAGATGAGGGAGTCGCATGCAATGATCGTATTACGTACTGGTCGCGGTCGAGCGTTGATCTGTCACCGATTATCAATAGCAAAATAGAATGCCGCTTGAAGTACAAAGTGGGTTTATGGTATGGAGCAAGATATTTGCTCGAGCCCTTCCTCACCGTAAATGACATCGAGCAGGTCCTCCCTGTTCGACGCCAAGATCGGAGCTGGCAGCCCTACACAACCCGAGAGAAACCGTGACAGAGAAAAACTTAGAAACAGAAGTAAAGATTGTTCGTAAATGAGACTCGTGATCGCGTTTACGACCCCGAATATGCCACTTCAGATCTTCATCCTCAGATCGGGGAATCCTGGCCCCTCACAACCCCCGAGTTGATGGACCCACAAAAGGGGGGCGCACACTCCGGCCACCGGCCCATTTGCCGGAACACCTCCGGCATACCCAGACTTGTCGCCGCGAGGATTACGAGTCCCTCTCAACACTCTCGATCACGGCCCGATAGCTGTCCCATCATGCCGCCGGAACCTCGGGCCAGCTTGGCCGCGAATGGACTTCGGGGTGCTTCTGCGCGCCCGACGGATCTAGACGACTGCTGACAAAGTGCTGTCGCAATGTCTGGAGTACTTGAGTCTCCGATGGGGCATTCTGCTCTGGTCTGACATGTCGTTCGAATATTTGCGTCCATAGACTGATGTTATTCGACAATGAACGGAATGGCTACCGCAGCAACAGCAACAAAGAATATGGACTCTCGATCTAAGTTGAAGAGAGGACAGTCTAAGGGCAGCTGGTCTGACGAAGTCAAGATTGAAGAGACGCCCTCTGTATGAAAAGCTCCATTTGCGGAGTTGTCTTGGTGCTAAAGACGTATAGAAGAAAAACAAGACCTCGCCCACTCAGCCGCAGCGAACTGGGCTGGCAACACCCTCCTCGCCGCAGCTCACTGACGCGAGCACCCCGAGCGATGACCTCGCTTCACTGCTCTACTCTCCTCGGGTGACCGCAAAGATTTGGGGCATCGCCCAGCAGGGCTTCAACTCAGTCCGTCTCACCCGTCATCATCTCCTTAAGCGCTCCTTGTACTGACGCCTGTCCTCGCAGCCCAACCCTCCGACCCTCTTTCCCGAATACACCAAGCCAGGCGGCACCAAATATGTCTACCGTGAACTAGACTTCTGGACCAGTGGCTTCTTCCCTGGATCCCTCTACTTGCTCCTCGAACGCCAGCAGAAATACAGCCACCGGCTTCATACGCTCCTCTCTAGCGTCGGCGGATCCGCAGACCAACAGGACCCTGAACCACATCCATTGCAGCTTGAATTCGCCTGCAAATGGTGGACCGAGACCCTCCATACCAACGCCCTCCTCACCAACACGCACGACCTCGGCTTCATGATCTGCCCCTGGGCCCGGCCGGCCTGGGACCTCCGCCGTGACGCCCGCGCGTACGAGACAACCCTGACGGCGGCACGGTCTCTCTACAGCCGCTACGACGTCAAAGTTGGCAGTTTGCGGTCCTGGGATGTCTGCATCACAAAGCGCTACTCTTTCTTGACGCCCAATGACGGCATTCTCGTCATCATTGACAATATGATGAACCTCGACTTGCTCTTCTGGGCCGCTGCTCAGCTTGGTGACGCCGCAATGCACGCCGCCGCGATTCAGCACGCGCGTACAACACGGATGTACCACATCCGCGAGGACTCGTCGACGTGCCACGTCGTCGTCTTTGAGCCCGAGACGGGCGCGTTCCGCGCGCGCATCACTAACCAGGGTCACGCGGATGGATCGGCGTGGACGCGCGGGCAAGCGTGGGCTATTGCTGGTTTCGCGCAGACGTACGGATGGACCCGCGAAGTCGAGTTTCTGGACACGGCTGTCGCGTGCGCAGAGTACTTCCTGGCCGAGCTGCCGGTGACTCGTATCCCGCCTTGGGATTTCAGGGCACCGGGGGAGGGCCCGCAGCCCACGGACACAAGCGCTGCTGTGATTGCTGCGTACGGCCTTTTGCTGATCCATGAGGCTTTCGTTGCCCTGGGGAAGGAATCAGGGTATCTGGAGCATGCGTTAAGCATTGTGCGTGCAGTGGCGAGTAAGCACACAACTGGACCAAGCGCATATCGCAGGACGAACAGGAAGATTCAGACAGTGGAACAGGGCGAAGTAACTGAGACTGCAGGGATCGAAGTTGATATGGGGGCAGAGTGCGAGACGATCCTGGGAGGCGCCACGATCAACAACTATGAGTTTGCGCCGCGACGTTGGGCAAACCACGGTTTGGTCTATGCGGATTACTATTTCTTGCTGTTCGGCAACAAACTGTTAGAGATGGGGCTGGACGTGAAGTTGATGGGCGATGTCTAATAGATCATTTGCTGACCTCAGTTTGGGTCAATTTGGTTCGAATAATGTAGATTCAATTATCCATCTACGACGACGTCTTGGACTTACATGTCGTGCTCATTCTTGTGGGTTCTTCTCTGTCAGCCCAGAGAAGACGCTAATCCTCTGTGCCGGAAGAAATGAGTAGTCAAGATATGTGCTGAGGTCTCCGAACTCTTCCATGGATAAAGGTCCCACGCCATTCACAGGGGCGCCATTTTCAAACCGATGGCTCAGTGGAAGTACGTTTCCTGCTACTGGCGATGCCGCCGCGGTGGGGCCCCTGCTTCCTTGTTGATTATAGAACGAGACAGGCAATGGAGGAAAAGCGAGGGAAATACTGTCCGGTGAAGCGTCCTGGTCGTAGTCATTCATTGCCTGGTATGGCCCAAATCCGTCCTGGTTTTCCTGATCGAGTTGTCCAATTACCATGCTATGCGGCATGTTGGCAACTTCAGTGCGGACGTTGGGTGCAGGATCTCCCTCAGGTTTTGTCTCGTCGAAATAAACGGAATGGCTGAGATCTAGCATACCATGGCCTTGTTCTCGGGCCCGCACGAGGCGCCGTGCGAATTTCGATGCCAGGTTATCTACTTGGTCGCCTGGCCCATTCCATCTTTTTGACATTTCCTGGAGGCTGTATACCAGTGAATCAAACCCTTGAGGCAATGGAACGCTGTAGTATATCGCATGGGCAAGGAACATGCGTCCGCAAATGAACAAGCAGAATGCGAACTGAGGGTTCGTAAGAGCCGTTGATCCTTGTAAAAACTTCTCTGCAATGATTGCCACCTCTGTCGCTGCTGCCAGACATGTCTCTGAACTGGATGCGGACGGGAGTCTGAGGCCGCTCGTTTGCCAATCCGGGGCCGGATATGCGATGCCTTGATGTAGAAGTACCACAGCCGTATTGTGTGATATGTGCGCGAGAGTTAGATTGGGGTCAAGAATGCCATCGCAATTGAGTGCGCAGGCCTCTCGCCATTGCTCTGGAAGGAAGATCTTCCATCTGTGTCCCAGTCAATTGAGCTGTTCATGTTTTCCAATTGCAGGAATTCCCAAAAGATTAACCTACTGGACCAGGCGCAAGTCAAGCTGCTTGAACTTGAGCAGCCACATCTGCACCTCCTGTGGCTTTGTCACATCAACCGCTTGCTGTAGAAAGAATGATGTGACGAGGCTCAAGCTTTCCGTTGCTTCAATACAGTAAGCAAACCCACCTATCGAGTCCTGGGCTTCGCCTTCGGGGCGAGCAGTTGGCAATGCCCCATTCGTACCACTTGAGGTGTCGGCAACTCCGAAGTACGGCGTTGGTGTCTGCAGAGGATGGCCTGCTTCCCAAAGTGCACCCTCACATGGAAGCCTCCTCTTGACGTCGGCACTTGTTAAGGAGAAGTTCCAGCCGGTTGCGATGCTACAAAAGCGGTCCAGAAGAAATGTATTCCAGAAGACACGCCGTCGTTCCTCTCGTTCGACCCAAGTCTTGCATGGTTTTAGAAACGCAATCCGTTTAATTAATGCTCTCGCGGGCGGTGTTTGGTCTTCTTCCACACTCAGTTGAAGCTGTTCTACTGTTCGTGTCATGCTGCCAACGATAGACTGATATTCTTGTTAGCGAAAGCTGTAGAAGAAAACACGAGGCAAACAAACCCAAGCTGAAGGACCACGTCCGCTTCCAATCTGAACTCGTGTCAGTACTCAGTCGTTTGCTATTGGGACAGAATAGCCATCTGACCGTATCGAAAGCGCAGATAATTAGTGCTTGAAGGTTTTCTACAGAAAACGAATCCATGCTCTCCACGATGACGGCCTGCCGGTATCTCTTGGCCATTTGCGTCTTTGTTTCGGGCGAACCGAGACGGGCGTCGTCTGAAAACCGAGCACAAGTGGACACAATGGCCTGGAAAACCGTTCGCAGCCGAGGGCGCTCGGCGGCATCAGCCATGCGGTCCCTGAATTCACGAACATGAAGCATAGGTATCCAGGGGTGCAGGTTCGCGAAGTAGATATCGACCAGGGAATCCATCAGATCTGGCGGAGGTAATGAAGCGAAGTCTTGATATGGGAGGACCGAACAGCCCTTGCAGGCGTCGCCGCTGGTTCGCGTTGGGCGGGTGTCCGTGTTCTGGAGGAATTCTGGCCACCGCGACGAATCGAGCTCGGCAGACCCGGCGACAGGGCCGGACTCTGCCAGGTTAGATAGTGTCGATTTCAGATGTGACGCGCTTTCCTGGAGCGACAAGCCGGAATCTTTTGACAATCGACCTGGGCTCGAATCTTCTTGTCCGGTGAGCGAGCTGAGCTGGTTGAAAACCTGCTGCCAGAGAACCCCCTGGCCAAGAAACATGGATTCCAAAGTCGCGACGCGTTGGCTAAGGTTCTCAACGGCGCCAGTCCTCAGGCCCGGCTTGTTCTTTCGGTCATCGTAGAGGCACTCGACGTCTAAGGCTCACGTCAGATACGAGACTTTGCGATGCTTCAAGATAGGGAGCAAGAAGCACGACGGCAGGGCAAGGTCCTACTATAACGAACACAGGCGGAACAAGGCTGACGCCTAGTGCACTTGGCCTTCTTTCTGCGACACGATTGACATGCAGGTCCCTCAGGATCAGCAGCTTCATTGAGCGCCGTGTCGTGGCGTCTCTTTTTAGCTGGCCTTGAGGAAACGAAGTCCTCCCCAGCCGAGTTGGAATTGGGCTCATCGTCCTCCACGGCAGCCATATGTGACAGTGGTTTCGTGGGAGGCACGGAAAGGGAACAAAGTTGCCAATCAAATGGGCAATTGAGCAAAGGAGACGCGACCGAGCGAGATAGAGAAGCGTGGTGTTGGAGGAAAGTTCACGCATGACCAGGATGCTTTCCAACTCCCGACCATGTCATGTCTCAGGCAGTTGACAACCAAATCAGTACTGGCGCATGAGGAAGAGTGAAAGTGGTGGAAGGTGCGATTCTTTGCCGTGTATGGGGAAGCAATGGCCGTGAGGGCCACCAGGCTGGGCAGCTGTCACCCACTAACGAATGGCTATTGGGGGATGATTGGCTCTAGTATCAGTGGGCAGGCGAACCCCTGGCCACGACTGCGGGGAGGTGCGGAGTGCATCATGTCCTTGCCCCAAGCCCACCCTGAAGCTGCGCATGCAATCGCTCAGTGTATCATCAACAGCCATCCCCTCAACCTGAACATCATCCGTGAATTGGATTTCCCCAGATCAACTTGACATTCGATCGCGCCGATCAGTTATGATGTGAGAAAACTCTCAGCACCCCAGGATCTCCCCCCCGAAATATCCCCCGCATCCCCAGAAATCTCCGCCATCGGTCCACGTCTCAGGCCACCAGTACCACCACCGGCCGCCGGGTAAAGTCCCGGACGCATCTCCGAACAGCATCAATCCTGGTTAAGCTTCAGCACAACCTCCCTTTCCCCTCCTTCTCAACGCGCCATGCATGAGCGTGCACATGGTCATAATCCTTGCTCGATTTGTAGGCTCGGCTCTTCGTTCCATCGTCAGGACCGATGTCCGCACCGTTCCACGACGTATACGTCAGGGAATCATTGCCGCGAGTGGTTACGAAATATAGAAGGAAGCCTCAGGACGATCTTCTTCGTCTCAATGGATTAGGCTCGGATCATCGGCATCGCTTTCAGAGCATCTCTTCGCTTCTTTTCGGCACAAAAACCCGGAAACAAGGCGCACACAACTGCTCTGCCCTTTGAACAGCCAAACTCTCGCCATGGCCGACACCAAGTCTGACTTTGCTCCAACGGCCACTCGACGGGAGGCCGACGAGAACTCCATCACGCCCGCTCCGCTTTCTTCTCAGCATATCGATGGTCATCATGCTGACCAGGACCAAGAGGTGAGCCCCACGGCCCCATGACGAGCGGATTCTGGACGAATCAAGCTGATCTTATAGACTGCCGCGTACGCCGGCGGTGAAGCCGTTTATATCGACGAAAAGACCAACAAGAAGTTGTTCTGGACCGTCAATAGACGCATTCTCGTCTGCATGCTTGGCACCTACTTCTGTCAGTCTCTTGACAAAGGCACATTAGGCTTCGCCTCCATCATGGGCATTCGGCAAGATGCGAACCTCCACGGCCAGCAGTTCAGTTGGCTCGGCACTATACTCTATATGGGTGTCCTGTTCGGCGAATACCCGACCAATCTCCTTCTTCAGAAGCTTCCCGTGGCCAAGTACCTTTCCGTCAACATCTTTTGCTGGGGTGTCGTCATTGCTTGCTCTGCTGCTGCGGAGGACTTCGGCTCACTGATGGCGGTTCGATTCTTGCTTGGTATGTTCGAATCGTGCGTGCAGCCAGCCTTCATTATCATGACCGCTATGTGGTGGCGACGCGAAGAGCAGGCAGTCCTGACTTCGCTCTGGTACTGCATGACCGGTGTTCAGCTCATGGTCGGTGGCCTCATCGCCTATGGTGCCAGTCACTACGATGGAGCCATCATGAGGTCGTGGCAGATGCTCTTCATGGTTCTGGGAATTGCCACCTGTGTCTGGGCAGTTTTTGTCGGCTGGTTCCTTCCCGATTCGCCCATGAAGGCAAAGTGCTTCGACGAAGACACGAAGAGGCTGCTCATCGAGCGCGTCCGCGCGAACGAGACAGGTATTCAGAACAAGACCTACAAACGCCACCAAGTCATTGAGGCTGTCTCTGACCCCGTCACTTGGTGCTACGTCCTGCTTCAGGTTACTTCGACTCTCATTATTGGTGGTCTTGGTGTCTTCTCCAACCTCATCATTAGTGGATTTGGCTTCACCGTATTTGAGACTCAGTTGCTCAATATTGCCCAGGGTGCCATCACCATCATTATCATGATTTCTGCCGCTTTCACTGCGCAGCGCACTCAACAGACTGCATTTACCATGCATGTGAGTGACCCCGAAACCTTCTTGTCGTGCTTTCAAGTAACAGTTTCCAGGCTTGGTCGTTCCCCGCCATCATTGGCACGGCTGTCATATATAGCATTGTCCCAACGGCCTCGAACCGCGTCGGTCTTCTGATTGCTTTCTACTGCACTCAGTTCTTCCTCGCTGAGGGCAATTTGGTCTTCTCCCTCATTTCGCGCAACGTCGCCGGCCGTACGTAAAATCTTTACAATCTGCCACACCGGCCGGCTCAATTAACACTTTTACCAGAGACAAAGAAGTCTACCACACTCACTATGTGCTTCGTCGGTTGGGCCGCTGGCAACATGACTGCCCCCCAGATTTTCCAGGCCTGGGACGCGCCCCGGTATCGCACCGGTTTCACTGTCCACTTCTGCCTCTATGCAATCTTCAACGTCATTCTTATTGTCATGCGTTTCCTACTCACCCGTCGCAACATGGGTAAGCGTGCCGCCGTTGCCACCGCTGGTGAAGCCGAAACACTTCAGCAAGCTGGCGAGGAAAAGATTACGCACAGCAACGCTTTCGCGGATCTCACTGACAAGGAGAACCCTGACTTCCGCTATGTCTTCTAGATCTGCAGGTGACCTATCAGGTCATTTTTAGGTAGTGCATCAATCAAGCTAACGTATTCCTCCTGAAGAAGTGACTACAGGAGTTTCCTGTTCACACCGCGCGCGCCGGAGCGTCCCACAGCTAAAAAGAAATCAACATTCTTCGATACGTCGATTCAAGTATGTCGGGCCTCGGGTCAATTGTAATTTTCTGCAACTTTCCTAGATCTTATGCTCACTATATCTGCAACGATGTATGGAATCCCGTGAAGATAAACCCCCATATGTATGCAGTGCATGACGTGAATACCACAATTCGCTTTGTCAAGCATATTTCAACCACGTTCTACTATTGATAGAGACCCTGCCTACTCTTGTTTTCGGTGTACATGATTTACGACTCATTTGCAGAGTATCACCCATCAACGAACAAAAGAAAAACAAGCTCCAGTTATGGTTCCTCATCTCAGCAATACGGCAGCGCGGGGTTCGAACAACTCCCCGCGATGAATCTCTGCGGTGCCCTTGCAATATCCCCCTCGAAAACCTGCGCCGAGGGGTCCAGGATTCGATCGATAATGTGCACGACGCCCTTTTCATTGGGATTGATCAGCAAAACTTGTTTCAAGAGGACCACGATCTAGTGAATTCCTACCTTTTCCACTGCTAGGTCAGACTCGGTGACCTTAGAAACGCCATTCAACGTGAGAGTTCCATCGACGACCTGCGTGCCGATGAAGAGGTACGTCCCCATCTGCAAGCGCGTCTTCGTCGTGTTGAAGACCGAGCTGGCGACCTTCGTGTTGGGAATGTAGTGGTGCTGCAGAAGATTGCCGAGCCACCATTTCCCCTTCGCCGTCGCGGCGTACGTGTCGAAATATTGGCCGGTATTGTTGAAAGCCTCGTTCGAAGGAGCGAAGAAGGTAAAGTCCCAGCCGGGAACGGTGTCGAATGCCGTCGTGAAGCCTTGGTGAGTGAGTATAGACACAGTCGGGGGAGGCGGTGTGCTCAACTCACCGGCTGGTTCTTTCAAGAGTTCGGCCAGTGTTGTGAGATCTGATCGGGAGTTGATGAAGTCAAGGAGTGTTGTCTTTCCCTGAACCTTGGGAACGGTCCACGTTCCCTCTGGCGTCGGAGCGTAGGCGAGTTGCTTTCGGTCCACGACCTCGGCGCTGCAAACAGCGCCGAGCAGAGATGAAACGATCACGTTGAAGAGAAGCATCTTATGGCTTCGATAGAGAGGGAAAAGGAATTCGAATATCTCGATCTCAATGGCTGGCAAAGTCAAGTTGTTGCAGAGCGGTGGGCTGGAAAATAGAGCTTTCTAGGAAGTGATATAGGAGACGCCACCATGGAGTGAACCTCAGACTGTTTGCATAATCAAGGTGCAGGTTCTGGTAGCCAATCCGGCCCTCATGAAATCTCGCAGCGGCCCGTTTCACGGAGAGTGACCCAGTTAAACTTCAAGGCACCTACACCTTCTCCAAGTCATAGGGCATATCATGAGGGGTGATATCGCTTGAAGGAGGAACATGCCCCGTCGATCTATCATTCGGGGCCCGTCCGGGACTTACCCCGGACTCATCGCGGTGTCAAATTGAGATTTCGGGGCGGAGTAGGGGAGTGCAGATGTGGGGAAAGGGACCAATGACGCGGATCCATCCATCCGATGAATTGATCGGTCTTGAATATGGGATGAAAACCGCATGGACGGCTGGCTTGTATAAGATCTTAACTGGCTTTGAAACAATCAGCAAGTGGGTTCGAAGTCCAGTCGCCATCCAGCGCAATTCCTCACCATCACCATGCTCTGGTTCTACGTTCTCGCAACAGCCGCTCCCGTTTTCGGGGCAACTTCCAAGAGAGCCCAAAAGCCGCAAATGGGCACGTGCAAACCTCACATCTCCCTCCGTGAACGAGACTTTACTGATATTCGGGCAGGGTGGAACTCTTGGAACACCTTCAAGCTCGGAATCAACCAGACGATTGTCGAAGGAACCGCGCAAGCTTTGGTGGATACTGGACTTCGTGATGCTGGCTACACGTACCTAGTCATGGATGATGGCTGGCAAAATCTTACCAGAGGTCCGGATGGGAGGCAACAAGCCAATGCCACGCGCTTTCCCTCCGGCCTTAAGGTACTTGCCGATGAGGTCCATGAGAAGGGCCTCAAGTTTGGCTTATACAGGTAGGCCGAGATCCACCAGCTGCACAAAAGTCATGTGCTAATTGTGCCCGCCAGTGATGCCGGAATCTTCGGTTGTGGTTTTCAACCAGGCAGTCTGGGTTATGAAGAACTCGACGCCCAAACGTATGCAGACTGGGGTATGGACTATCTGAAGGTAAGCTTGAGCTCCGACACCAGAAATGTCAACTGATCAGACAGTACGACAACTGTGGAGGATTCTACGGCAATACCCGACCAGTCCAGGAGCGCTTCCAAATCATGTCTCACGCTTTGAAGAACACAGGTCGCGACATCTTCTACGCAGTTTGTCAATGGGGCCACCAGTGGCCCTGGTACTGGGCCGACCAGTTCACTGATTCATACAGGATGTCTGGGGACATCCACGCCAAGTTTCGCGATGACGGGAACTCCGTCTGCAAGACTGCCTACTGTCTCAACACTGGCTACGCTGGTGTTAGCGTTCTGACCATGATTCGCAAGATGCGCGAGATCTCTGGCTTCCAGAAGAAAGGCTCCTGGGGTCAGTCTCTTGTTCGAAAGATTGCTAAGGATGACGAAGAGCTAACCCGGAGTAAGCTGATATGGACATGCTCGAGGTTGGCGTCAACCGCAACTTCACACTTCACCAGGATCAGACCCACCTGAGCTTCTGGGCAGCCTTGAAGAGCCCTCTCATCATTGGTGCGGACATCACAACAATCAGAAAATCTTCTCTCGATGTGCTGTTGAAGAAAGATATCATTGGAATCAACCAAGATGACCTCGGGGTAGCTGTCTCTTATGTAGCTGAACTCTCCAAAGAGGACGAAATCCAGGTCTGGGCTGGACCTGTGAAGTACAAAAAGTACAACCATGTTGTGCTTGCTCTCAACTACAATGTGGTGAACCACACCACTGATATTGAGCTGCCATGGTCAAGACTTCCCGGGTTCCAGGGTTGCAAGAACGGTAATGTCCGTGTCAGAGATGTCTGGGAGGACAAGGATCTGGGATCTCAGAAAGAAAGTATTTCCCTCCAGGAGGTGACGCAGGATCAAACGAAGGTGTTGCTGCTTTCCTGCAAGTAGAGGAAACAAAACAATCGGAATATTACACCTACTAAAGCCTATCTTGCTCGTGTCGAAATGACTCTTCCTGGCCGCTTTCTGCAAATTCAAACAATGGGAGGCTCCGCCACGATTGTCTCATTCGCAGAACCTCACGTAGGAAAACACGGAGAAATCATGCAATTTGTCCTTTCGCACAGAAAACACTATCCCGCCGGTGCTAAGGATTCTCGGACGGACCCGATGGATCGCCAGGGCGGTATGCCTAGATGCAAGCGAGCCGACGTCGATCTGCCGAGAAGAACCTATCCAATGGGGCGTGACAACCCGTTGTCAAAGGATTTTGTTCCGTACCTGGGCGTCTACACTACGTGCTGATTACCCTTTCTTCAATTGGTCACCCATGTCGCCTAATGCAAGGTTAAGCATCCATCACCTGCTCTTTTGGACTAGACCCCCGGTACCCATCGCTCTACGGATCTTGGCGAAGGAAGCAGTCTTGGCATCACCTTGCTTGCATTTTTCTCAAATCTGCCAAGATTGACACAGCAGCTCCAGATTGGTGAGGAAAAGAAAATCTGCACGGAATGAATTGACTGCAGCCTTCACGTGCAGGCGCGTAGTCCCAGGAACTCCGGGTAGGATCGCAGCTACTGGTTCGTCTAGCTCTATCGGGAAACCCTTCCGCCCGAACTGACATATTCTTAGACGGGAGCCGCTCGATGTTGGTCTGGAACACGTTTCTCGCTAAAACTCACGTATGAGACTCATGCCACAATTACTTCGTCTTGACGCTGAGGTCTTTGGTACACTATCGTGATTGGTGGAAGAGAAGATGTATTCAAGAGTCGAGACTGTATGGACTGACAGGCCTACGATCCTTCACAATATCGAAGTCTTCAAGACCGAGTGAAAATGGACCTCCAGGTGACCTAGCTGTTGTCGAGCTGCCAAGGTCACAAGTTGCAAGGTGGAGCTTGATGAGCGATGTGTCGCGTCAAGTGTCGATTATATAAATATGAGCTCAGGTCATCGGCTTTTGTCAGTAACGGACTCTGCATCTCGATATCATCATCCGGCTCTCATCTCGGTTTCACTCCATCACACAATCGCTGATCACCCTTTCGGAAGCCAAGATGCTTCGTTCAGTTGCACTCAGCATGGCGGTCCTGGTCTCCCAGGCCGCAGCCCACGGATACCTCAGTACTTTCTATCTGAGCGGCAACAACTACGAAGGTTACAACTACTGGCAGGTTGATAAGGCCCCCAATGCCATTGGCTGGTCTTTCACGACCCAAAATGAGGGTCCTGAGATGGACATCTCCAGCCCCGGCTTTGTCTGCCGTCGCGGCTCGCAACCCTCCAAGAACTACGCGAAGATTGATGCGGGCAGCCCTATTGAGTTCCGGTGGACCTCCGACGACAAGGTCATCAACCCGAACGGCTGGGCTGAGAGCCACCGCGGTTCCGTCATCACCTACATCGCCCCTTGCAACGGCGACTGCACAAGGGTCGACAAGACCGCCCTACGCTGGACCAAGATCCAGGAGGCCGGCCTCATCTCCGGTCCCGCCAACACGCAGGGCATCTGGGCGACCGACCTCCTGCGCACCTACGACGGCTGGAGCCTGGCCACCATTCCAGCCTCCATTGCCTCGGGCAGATATGTTGTTCGTCACGAACTCATTGCCCTACACCGCGCTCACCTCAACGAGCCCGAGTTCTACATGCAGTGCGGCAACATTGAGGTGACCAACGGTGGCTCGGACACGCTGGCTGGAAAGGGCGTCGTTGCCTCTCAGCTGTACAGCCGCTCCGATGCGCAGCTCTACGGCTTCACCGTCTATGGATCTGCCACGAGCTGGAAGACGCCTGGTCCGGCTCTGTACACTGGCGCTTGAACACCTCATCGTTAAGGGACTGGATGAATTAGGCTGGAAGAAACATTGAACTCTGCACACTAGCACCTGTGTGTACTTCTTCAGAACGGTCTTAGGTAGTTTCACGCATTCATTTTGTATATAGCAAAATGCGCGACTCTGCTATTGGACAATCTAGGAGAAAGAATGAAGAGCAGAAACGACTGTCTGGAAGGGGGAAAAGCGTTATGAGACGAGATTTCAGAAGTCAAAATAGATCTTAATGAAATCTCATGCGTATTGCCAGAGTACTAGTCCAACTAGATCATTCCCGACGGAATAAAATGGTGCCAAAGCCAAGTTGGTCGTATCCGCCGCTGTTGGGACCATAGTCGCCACCACCGCCCTCAGCTCCGTTGCCGTTCTTCACGACCATGTCGCGATACTCCCTGGTCCAGGAAGCGTTGAGGCCGCGGATTGATTCGTAGTGCGCAACGAGTAGCTCACCAATCGGCCTGATGTTTCCGCGGTCCTGCGAGCTGATAGCCGTGTACGTGCCGTGGGAGTTTTTGAACGTAGCAAAAGGCACGTCGTGGAATGTGTTGTACTTGGTAGCGTACTCGGCTCTGTTGTCGCTGTCAGCGGGATGGAAAGCCACAAAGCTGTAAAAGACTTACCCGGCGAGGATACGGTTATCCAGTAGTGCGAAGAGATCTTCGCCCTGGTTGTAGCTCTGCTGCGCCAGGACGCCAAGCAGGTTCTGGTTGAACATGGTATGGCCTTGATCGCGGCCTGACTCTTGGTTTTGGCCAAGCTGCTTGCCCGAGCCTTCTTCGGTGTGGATCGTCCAGATGGCGTTCTTGATAGCTCCGTTACCAGCGCCGTTCTTGAAGTAGTCGATCGCCTCCTTAATCATAGTGTTGTTGTCGGACAGCACTCCGATGGCATGCATAGAGCAAAGGGTACAGAGATCCCACTAGTTCAGCGTCATGTTAGCCATTTCCAGTGCATTATGAGACCTTGACTGGGTTGAGTTTCTCTCACGTTTGCCCAGTAGTTGTCAATCTTGGCATCATTGTGCTCGACCAAGAATCGGTGGTTCATGGGGTAGAACCTGTTCCTCAGGAAGGAGATGGCAGCTGAGAGCCCCTTCCAGCCATTGTAGTCTCTCAGAATCTCAGCCACATTGGCATACTGGTAGCCGTAGATGCCAGCAGCAAGGTACCGATCTGCGCTCCCCTGGATCTCAGGGTTCTTGCTGCTCCAAGCATCAAGAATGGCAGCCGCCGTGTCGGCGTTGGCAGTCGTGCCCGTTATCTTCCAGTAGACGGCGTTGGCGTAAGCAGTGTGAACGTCACGGTAGAACGAGGCGTAGTTCTGGGTGCAGTCAGAGTCACCGCGGCAAATGACATCCTGCGCGTGAGGCACGGCTTTCACATCAGCGCGTGCGACGAGCTTGGCCCATCCAGTTGCGAAGGGCTCCTTCTTGGAGTCCACCAGGCCTTTGATGCGTTTGAAATCGTCAGCCGTGTGAAGGAGGCCTGGGTGGTTCAAGCTCTGTCGAGTCTCAGGTTGGGCATGGTGGGGACGGGCCCGGCTGGCATCCACCACCGTCAGGGGCAGGGAAAGAAGACTGAGAAGGGCAATACACTTCATGGTGATGAGAGATGAAGGCTATGAAGTGAGTGTGATCTACCATTTCAAAGTGTTGCAGAGTCTCGTTAGCCGGCCTTTATATCAATGTCTCTTTTCAGACTCAGACTATAGTCAAGACTCAAGGTGATATCAGGCATCGCTAATCAGTACCCAGTGGCTCCCTTGCATCGCCGCGGGGCTTTGCTGGCAGTTGTTGCGCCGTCAAGGAAACGCATTCGGCATTAGAAAACGTAGAAACCTTCCGGCGTGTGATTGAGAGGGGCTCAAGGGGGCGGGTACGTGGCCCGAATCGGTAGCCGACGTTCCAGAGAGATTACCACTCGCTGTCACCCTGTTCTGCTCCACCGCCATCGTCAACTGGACCATGCTTCGAACAACGAATGCAGAACAACATGAAGTGTGTTCGTAACGGAAGATCCTGAGTGCATGTCGAGGACCCAACGGCCCGGCTCTTCCCCGGGTTTCAATCTGGGGAAACAGCGCCTCCTCCGCATGGCATATGGAAATCTCCCAGTGATCATTTGCCAAAAGCGTGGATCGCCACGACCATGCCCACGTTGGGCGAATGTTCCCCGCAAGGTGGTGGGATGACGGGCAGTAATGAAGGCCACGGGACGCGTCCGGGTTAATGGCCTTTGGACGCATCGCGCAGTACCGGGGCATCGCGCCGATACTTGGCCCGGTCTAGAGGTATGGTGGCTTGGAAGCGCCATTATCAAACGGCACGAAAGCCGACGCATTCCCCGCAACAACTTGTGCAAGCGACCCTGACAGCACTGAGGCGGACTTCCCCGCCGTGTCAACCCGGGCTGTTTTGGTGCGGATACGACCCAGAAGGCAAGATTGACATGGAGACATTTGGGAGTCGGTTCCTGACAGGAAATGAGGGGCTAATCCCAGGAACCCCGCGATCTGTCGGCGACGGCCAGGAATCGGGGCTCGATAGAGAATAACTGGCAAGCAATGGCTGTATAAAGATGTCTGGCGGCCTTTTGAGTCTTCTCATGCTTCACTTGCCCACCCGTTGTGCAGTGCTTTGAGTCAAATTTGCCGAAGAACCTGAGGTCCGTTGGATCCCTGCTTTTAGGATGAAGCTTTCCGTGGCGAGAGTAAGATGAATCCACTTGATCGTCCGGTAGTTCCGCTGCTGACATATTCAAGCTTGGACTTTTCCTCCTCCCACTCATAGACCAAGCGACATCCTTGGTCTCGAACTTGCCGACTCTCAATGGTAATTATAACTCTCCCGCTATGGCAGCGAGTGGCCACGGCTGACCCCACCAGGTCCCGTTCCGCCGGTGATGCCCAGGGGCGGCAAGACGGGTCTCGGACAGTTCAAGCACCCGGGTCTCTGGCACTCGCACGACGACCTCGAGCTCATGCGCACCAAGGTCGGCGAGAAGAAGGAGCCATGGATAAGCGGCTTCAACGCGCTCCAGGCTGACTCGTACTCGTCGGTCGACTACAGGATGCAGGGGCCCAAGGAGGTGCTGTCGCGGGGGCGGCCGAGCAACTACACGACCTTCACGGCCGACACGCGCGCGGCGTACCAACACGCCATCCTGTGGTACATCACGCGTGACGACGCGCATTTCAAGGTCGCCACGAGCATCATCGACGCGTGGGGCACCAACCTGACCAACATTATCGGCATCGACACGAGCCTGCTCATCGGCATCGAGGGCGACATTCTCGTCAACGCCGCCGAGATCCTGCGCTGGGAGGGCAACTGGACCGAGGCCGGCGCCAAGTGGCAGGGCGGCACGGGCTTCTCGAACCAGCTCTACTGGCTCTTTGCCCGCCAGTCGATCATCATCGGCCACGCCAACTACGGCATGGCCTCGATCAAGGCGCTGCTCAACTTTGCCGTCTACCTCGACGACGTGAACCTGTTCAACTACGCGCTCAACGCCTACCTCAACGACCTCTGCGCCGGGCTGCCCGGCAACTTCAACCGCCGGACGGGCCAGTCGTCCGAGGCGGGCCGCGACCAGTCGCACGTCCAGTCCGGCCTCGGCTGGGCGGCGCTCGCGGCCGAGACGCTCGAGACGCAAGGGTTTGACGCGTGGAGCGAGCTCGACAGCGTGCTGCTCACGGCGTCCGAGTACACGGCCAAGTACAACCTCAACGAGACGGTGGAGTACGATGCCCAGTTTTCGCGCTGCCTCGCCGTTCTCGTTGATGGGCCGTGGGACGCGATTTCAGAGCAGAAGCGTGGCATCAGCCCTGACCTGCCGGGCGTGTGGGACCTCATCTACTACAAGTACGTGGTGCAGAAAGGGAAGAAGGCACCATGGACGGCCAAGGCCAAGGCGTTTTACGACGCGCAGGGTGGGCAGACGTCGGGCGGGTATACTGTCATGGGCTGGGGCGACCTGATCTGGGCGAAGGAGGGCAGGAAAAAGCGGTTCTGGGAGAGGGACAGCTGGAGGATGTAAGTCATCGTCGCATGCTGCGTGAGGCGGGGCGCGAATCCAAGTCTTGCTAGATGTAGGAGCTCCCATGGACTACGTTTGGGGATGGCAAATACAACGATGATTTCAAGCACAACGAATCCCGCCAAGACCCGATCATGGCCAGCCCAGCTTAGAAAAGGCAGTCATTTTCGTCTCGGAAACGCGTGCACTGCGCGTATCAAAAGTCCTCCATTTTCATGACACTGTAGGAGACTTCTTCGTATGGATGGGCTCTGGAGCGCGCCGTTTAGTAGCGGGACATGTTCGAGCGCCTACGGTTCACACTCACAGCTTCAACGCCGCGACGGCCTTTCTCACTACGTCTTCACCAACGCAGAGAGTCTCGGCTCTTGCTTCATGCAGCTCTTCGAGCTCGCCGGGCTTGCCAATGGCCGGCTTTGCGCCGTCGCCTGGGCGGAACTGTCCCGCGCCGATGGTCGACCAGCAGACCTCGGTGTAGTTGCCCGGTCCCGGGAAGCGACCGGCGCCCACGTCGAATATGGCTCGTTTACAGGCTTCGAGATGGGTCTCGGGGACGTGGAACACGAGACGGTAGCGGGTGGGCGAAGAGGACGTCATGTCTTGGGTTGGCAGGAAGGGGTTGTGAGGGCTGTGTGTGTTGTAGGAACGAAGAATGACGATGGTGTGTCTGTGCAGTCATTCACTCTGTACAGATCTGAACTTGAAGAAGGAGGAAGGAAGGTTAAATAGTTGAGGGTAAGCAGCTGTCCACTCGAGGTGTGACTTTGTTCCTTGTCGAAAAGCCGAATCCCGATCGGTTCACCTGAAGCATGGCAACATGGTGGCGTAACGAAATGTACTTCACGCTCATCGTAATGCTTGACTCGCGAGCCAAGATCAATGCCATCGGGGGACGAAATCCGATGTGACGAAGTTGCACGATCAGGGATGGTAGAGGACAGTAGAGGGAGACGCCGAGGGATGCCAGTATGCGGTATTCCGAGTCATGTATCTATCCAGGTCCAGGCGCCCGCAAAGCCGCTATCGCATCATCTCAAAGCCGTAGGCGCATGCGTCAAACCCGTCCCAGCAGTTCCCTCATAACCTTACCTGACCTCAGATATCTTCCCGGCCGGTACGGTACCTATGCATGTCACAGCACAACCCACGGGGTCCATATCCGTCGCCGCCAAGATGCCGCCCCCCAGGATACTCCTCTTCAGCCTCGGAAACCCGTCGCCGTACCTGAACACCCTCCACTCGGCCGGCCACCACGCCCTCGCCGCCCTGATCCCCCTGCTGCCCTCCCAGCCGGCCCTCGCCAAGACCCGCCACGCCGCCAAAGCACCCCTCGCCTCCCTGTCCCCCGCCTACGCCCTCCTGCAGTCCCCGTCCCTCATGAACGTGTCCGGCAAGTACGCCGCCGCCGCCTACCGCGCCTTCGAGGACCCGACGCTGTCCCTGCTCGTCGTGCACGACGACCTGGAAGAGGACCTCGGCGTCGTGCGCATCAGGAAGTGGAACAGCTCGCACAGGGGCCACAACGGCGTCAAGAGCGTCGGCAAGCTGCTGCGGCCGGCCGACTTTCCCGCCGCGCGGTTCGCGCGCATCAGCGTCGGCATTGGGCGGCCCGAGGCCAGGGAGAGGGAGGCCGTGTCGGAGTACGTCCTCAGGGAGATGACGGGCGTCGAGAGGAGCGTGTTGGCCGCGAAGGCGGGCGAGGGAGTGCTGCGCTGCTTGCGGGAATGGGAGGCGCAGTTTGGGGAGCGGGACCCGTGAGAGTTGCTGCCGGCCGGACGCCGGTGACGGGAGGGGACTTGTCTTCGCATGAAGGCGAGGCCTTGCTGCTGAAGTCCGAGGCTCGACATGATGCCCTCTTACTGACGACCACGGCGTGCACGACATCACAAATTCGGTCGAGGACGATAAACCCACCCAGTCAACCTGTACAACATTTCGGCATGAACGATGCATCACACATAATGCATTTTGTATTTCTCCCAGCATCACCTGGCGTCCTTGTCCTGTGGCCTGCCATCCAGCCACTTGCTCATGTAGGGCCCGTCCAGCCAGTACCCCAGCTTGGCATAATAACTCCTGACACCGACACCCGAGATGACGCTGATCTTGTCACTGCCGTGCTCGTCCCGCGCTATCCTCTCCGCCTCCTCCATCAACAGCGTGCCGAAGCCTTGGTGCTGGAACTTCTTGGGGTCCCTCGCGTGCACCGGCACCGCCGTGCCGTACACGTGCAGCTCGCGCACGAGGCTCGTCGGCTGGCCCACGAGCTCTTCGCGGAACGTGTACTTGTCGCTGCACTTGCGCAGCCGCAGCAGCGCCACGAGTATGTCCTGCTTGGGGTCCTCGTACGCCAGGAACGTCTCCCACCCGCCGTTGGCCGTGTAGTCGCGCCGCACGAGCTCAATCTGGTTCGGCCGGATCTTGTGCTTGACCTCGTTGACGCCGACCTCGCGCGTCCGGACGTCGCGACATGACGTGCCAAAGTCCTTCATCCTCGCCAGCGCCAGCTCGCGCAGGTTGCCGTTCTCCACGCCCGACGTCACGAGCGGCATGGGGATGTCGCGCTGCACACGGTAGATGCGCGTCCACGGCGGCACGAGCGCCATGATCCTCGCGACGAGGTCAATGAGCTCGTTGGGTGTGTAGTTTTGGTAGCGTCCCGTCCGCCACAATTCGTAGAGGCCGGTTCCGCGGATGACGAGCGTCGGGTAGATTTTCAGGCCGTCAGTCCGGAAAGCCGGGTTCTCGAAATACTCCCGGAACTGGTCCAGGTCTCGCTCCATGCCGCAGTTGGGCAGGTCCGGCATCATGTGGCTGACGACCTTGTACCCGGCGTCCTTGGAATAGCAGAAGGTCTCTGCCACGGCGGCCACTGTGTGCCCTCGATTCGTGTCCCGCGCCACGTCCTCGTAGAGAGACTGCACGCCCACCTCCAACCTCGTACAGCCATACCGCAGCATGTCTGACAGGTGTGGTTGCAGGCAGTAGTCCGGCCTCGTCTCGATTGTGATGCCGACACACTTGATGTTGCTCATCTCGCCCGCCTCCACGGCCTCGTCCACGTTGGACGTCTGGTAGCCGCTGAGGGCGTTGTGCAGTTGCGCGATGAAGTCCTCGCGGTAGGACTCGGCCAGTGACATGAATGTTCCTCCCATGATGATGTATTCGACCTTGTCCACCGAGTGGCCGAGAGACTTGAGCTGGTCGACACGGCCTCGCGCCTGTTCGAAGGGGTCGTATCGCGCGCGGATGGCACGCATTGACGTGGGCTCGTAGCCAGTGTAGGACTGTGTGCTGTACTCGAAATCGGAGTCGGGGCCGCCAGGGCAGTAGACGCAAATGTTACCCGTGTAGGCAATGTGAGGACACCTGTGTGGCTTGCACATGACGGCGACGACGGCGATACCAGAGGATGTTCCTGTGCCTAGTCAGAAAGAAGGCCCACGGTGGCAGAAAAAGAGAAACGATCTTGGGGCACATACGGATAGGCTTCGCAATCAGCTTCGGCAGGATGTATTTCTTGTAGTGTTCGGGAATGGCAGCGATGATGGCGGTCAAGGAGGGAATGTTGGCGAGCTTGTGCTTCTTGGCACACTTGTTTCGTAGTTGGTTGAGGTTGATGTCCCTCTTGGGCTTCTTCGGGTCGCTCGAGGCTTCATGATCCTCGATCAGGGCGTTGACTACATCGGCGCAACACCGCAGGAAACGCTCGTTCTCGGGGGCAAGGTTTTCCGTCTTGGGCTTTGGCCGGTGGGTGGCCGTAGCCGTCATTGTTGTTGTGGCCATGGTGTGTGTGTGGCATACGAGGGAGATGTTGGCAGATCAAGTTTCGACGGCTTGTATCGAGAATCTGTATGCAGTTGCAGTGCTTCCAGAAATTTTGGAGGCAATCGCCTGGGCTGCCGTAGTAGTGGTGCACCACCACTTCAAGATCAGTGATCTCGAAAGTCAGTAGCATCTGATGGTGGGGGAGGGGACAGAACAAAGTGGGACCCTTTGACCAAGGCTGATGGATGACTACGCAGGTGGTGATGACTACGCAGGTGGTGATGACTACGCAGGTGGTGATGACTGATGACCGTCCATTTGCCAGCTCGGCGATTGGCTCGGCGGGAACAATCCATCTCCGACAGCTCGCTCCCTTGCTCTGCGTGCCTCTGCCCTGGCTCGGGCGAGCCTCAGTGCCTCAGAGCCTCAGTGCCTCAGAGCCTTAGAGCCTCAGAGCCTGAAGGAGGTCCCTCTGGTCGCGGGTTTTCCCGGTGCTGCCGGCCAGTCAACAGTGTAACCGAACTGGAATCTGGCCGTATGGCCCGAGCGCCCCCCCCAGCAGCTGCCGAATGGCACCTGGAACTCCAAGTTTTGACGCTTCGTGTTTGGAGGCCGCGATGAATTGAGCTCTTCTCCTGTTGGTTTTCCCCCCCGAATAACGCCGCATCAACCTCCATCTCCCCTCCACCCCATCCGTCGACTTCCTTTCGACACGATTGTCATCAGCTGCGCTGCTCCCTCGCCGCGCTTCTTCCTTTCTTCTTTTTTTTCCTCCCTTCCTCCACACAGCACAAAGCCATCATGCAGGCCATCTCAAGACAGCTGCGGCCCTCGACGAGCCTGCTGCAACAAGCAGCTCGCCGTGCCTACAGCGTCTCTTCCGCCGGCCCCTACGCCCAGACCATTGACAACCTGCGCATCAACGGCGAGACCAAGGTTCTCTTCCAGGGTTTCACCGGAAAGCAGGGAACGTACGTCCCCCTTGGTTCGCGATGCGCCTCGCAGGACCCCTGGATTTTGAAGAGCTTGGCGCTGACCTGGATATCACTAGTTTCCACGCGCAGCAGGCGATCGACTACGGTACGAGGCATCACAAAAACAAGAGAGACTCCCATGACCGAACTGCATCTGACGTGTTGGACATACAGGCACCAAGGTCGTCGGTGGCACCAACCCCAAGAAGGCTGGCTCTGAGCATCTCGGCCTTCCCGTCTTTGGCAATGTGAGCGAGGCCGTCAAGGCCACCGGTGCCACTGCCACTGCCATCTTCGTCCCGTAAGCACTCGCAGCGTGTCTTCGATCCAAAGAAAACAAAGCTAATGCACATCACAGCCCCCCCGTCGCCGCCGCCGGTATTGAGGAGGCCATCGAGGCCGAGATCCCCCTCGTCGTCTGCATTACGGAGGGTATCCCCCAGCACGGTATGTTTTGCGCGTCTGCCCGGCTTCGTGCCAACGCCTGCTGACCCTCCCTACTTCAGACATGGTCCGCATCACCAACATGCTCAAGACCCAGTCCAAGACCCGTCTCGTCGGCCCCAACTGCCCCGGCATCATCGCCCCCGGCCAGTGCAAGATCGGCATCATGCCCGGCTTCATCCACAAGCGCGGTCGCATCGGTATCGTCTCCCGCTCCGGCACCCTCACCTACGAGGCCGTCAACCAGACCACCCAGGCCGGCCTCGGCCAGTCCCTCGTCGTCGGTATCGGCGGTGACCCCTTCAGCGGCACCAACTTCATCGACTGCCTGCAGACCTTCCTCAAGGACGAGGAGACGGACGGCATCATCATGATTGGCGAGATTGGCGGTTCCGCTGAGGAGGATGCTGCCGAGTTCCTCCGTGCCAACAACACCGTCAACGGTGGCAAGCCCGTCGTCAGCTTCATCGCTGGCATCTCCGCCCCCCCTGGCCGCCGCATGGGTCACGCCGGTGCCATCGTCTCCGGTGGCAAGGGTGGTGCCGACAGCAAGATCGCCGCCCTCGAGGCCGCCGGCGTCATCGTCGAGCGCTCCCCCGCCGGTCTTGGTAAGGCCCTGTACGACGAGTTCGTCCGCCGGGATCTCCTGTAAAGGGTTCCCGTCTATCCAGCGGAACCTGTGTGAGTGGGTGGCAAGGCGAGGCGAAGGGAAGCATGTGTATGTATGATGTGGTGACCGGGGCACGCCTACGGAGCAGCCGTGCATTTTCTGCTATTCATCGAGGGTACGGTACTCATAGACTGGAACGGAGGCGGCTTTGGAAGGCGAGGCTAGCAACGAGGCCGCGCCGTGCGGCTTCTGTTTTGTAATCTGGAATTCCATCTGTATTCTGCCTGCATCACCCGTCTTGAGAATAGATCTCAACCCAGTTTTTGTTTTGTGTCGTAACAGTCTGTGCTTCGTCGGCCTGCCTCTGCCGGCCACCGAGGCTTCTCGTTTGATTGCGTCCCCTGACGCACCCTCTCCCAACGCCTTCTCGAGACGGGGAGAACAAAAGAATTCTTGGTGGAATATTCATTCCCCCCGACGCAATGCAAACATTTCAGTCATAACATTATAGAAACACACAAAACTCCAGCGGAATGCGTCCGTCCGTCCCTGCCCTCTTGTGAAATTCTCGCCCCCAGATCCGCGGTGGCTGCCCATCCTGCCTGATGATCCCACACAACCAAGCCCCCTGACATCACTGCTCGCCGAGCAACCGAGCCGTAATGTCCCCCATGTACGCCTCTTCGAGCTCATAGTCGCGCCCATCGTTCCGGTCGATGCCGACGTACTTGAACGCGTCGACGACGGCGTCGACCTGGAAGCCCATGCCGACGAACCGCTCGACGAGGTTGCGGTTGTAGCCGTCGTAGCGCGTCTCGTCGAGGGCGGCCTTGTCGGCGCCGGCCTCGGCCGTGTACCGCGACGTGTCGAGCTTGGGGTTCGCGGGCGCGCCGGCGTGGGCGACGGCCCACTCGTGGGCGCGCAGGGCGAAGGCCTCGGGCCGCTCGAGCATCATCTTGGCGACCTCGGCGTCCTGCGGGTCCTTGGGGTTCGGGAACTCGAGGAGCATGCGCAGCGAGAGGAGGGCTGTCTTGATCGTCTGCACGGGCGACCAGCCCGTGCCGAGCGTGTCGAGGCAGATGGCGCCCTGTTCGTTTGGTTCGTCAGCACTGCTTCTCGCCTTCGAGGCACGGGCGTCGCGGTCAAGGCTGCGGGAAGGAGCGATGGGAAACACACGGTTTGGGAGCTGATGTTGGGGTGCCAGATCTTCGTGTCGAACTTCATGATCGGGGACTTGAAGGGGTACATGTCGGGGATGACAATGTCGACGACGAAGCGGCCGCCGGCATAGGGCGAGTCGGGGGGGCCCGGCATCGTGCCCTTGAGATGGAGCAGGCTCGCTTCCGAGACGGGCTGCGCGAAGACGCCCGAGTTGTCCTTGTCGGCCTCCATGTCGGCCAGCTCCTTGATGATGCGGCGCTCGCGTGAGGATGACATGGTGGGCTGCTTTGGCTCGCGGCGAGTGCGGACTGCGTTGTGTTCGTTCAGAGTGCGAGATCTGCCTGGTGGGGGGCAAGCATTTGCTGGAGAGGAGAAGCAAAGGGAAAACCAGCAGAGGGACGACGTTGGGGGGTTGATTAGGGTTGGATGTGAGATGGAGGGGTGTTCGATTTGCCCCGCGGAACTTTCGTGACGTCCAGCGTTAGCCGCTGGGGGGGGGGACTTGGCTGGAGACCGAAACTAGGGATTCCTGGGCGGCTGGTCTCGTAGACGTCAGGCTCCGGGTCACGGGCTGCAGTGCATCTGCTGAGACACGCCGCGAAACACACAGCTTAGGATTGTTTACGGAGCTGGTTTTTGTTTTTCATCAGCTCGAGCATTCTACTTAAATCGTTGCCCCAATCGCAGTTAGCCGTCAATCCTGAGAAACGAGGCAGCTCATAAGTATTGCTTGTTGGGCTAGCTACCTGCGTACTTAGCTAGGTACCTTATGTACGTATCTGGGGTAGGTAAGCTAAGGTACCTACCTAGGTAGGAAGGACTAGATACTTCGCAGGCACTGAAGCTTCTTTAGTGGGCAGATCGGCTTGAGCACATTGAGTAGATACAGGCTGCCAGCAGTAAGTACGTCAACTACAATAATGCACCCGAAGCAGATTCCTGCATCCTGCTGAGATGTCCGGCCAAGCAGCTATCCAGGTGTCAATGAACCTCTCTTGGTTGAACGCCAGTAGTCAACCCCGGCTGTGATGATGACTCAGCAGAGCGCTCCTGCACGTGATGAGCGTGGCCATCGAATTAGGCCCCAGCCCAGGCGTCGCGTTTCTCTGGCGCCTTGACGTCTGGACCTCGAAATGCCAGCAGTCAGCCAGCCCCATAACGTCGCCCTTCCATCATCATCCACTGCTATCACCGCCATCACCACCATCGCAGGCGCACCGAGCTCGCCCGAACCAATCCATTGCGACACGTAGTCAACTGCCGCAACCTCTGAATATTGTTGGCGATTATTTGACACCCGATTCCAGAGCTTGCGAAGCTCCCCAGTAGCAACCATGGTACACACTTGCAAACGCCCTGCCAAACATCCAGAGGTGCAACCGAGCTGACTTGCCGTCTTTCCAGGGTCAGAACCAGTCCGGAATGGGCGGTGGAGGAGAAGGAAGAGACGAGAAGGATAAGAAGGTTTGCCCTCACCAATGAAGTCCGTCTCGTTCGTCGCAGAACTGACGATCGCCACAGAAGGATAAGCCCAAGTACGAGCCGCCCCCTCGCCCGACCACCCGTGTCGGTCGCAAGAAGAGAAAGGCGGCTGGCACCAGCGCCGCCGCCAAGCTTCCTGCCATCTACCCGACGAGTCGATGCAAGCTTCGTCTCCTGCGAATGCAGCGAACCCACGATCACCTTATCCTCGAAGAAGAATATGTCGAGAACCAGGAGCGTCTGAGCAAGGCGAAGGTCGCAAAGGAGGGCAATGCGGCGCCCGGACCCGAGGGTACCGAAGACAGACTGGCTGACGAGCGTGGTCGTGTTGACGACATGCGAGGCAGCCCGATGGGTGTCGGTACGCTGGAGGAGATGATTGACGATGACCACGCCATTGTCAGCAGCACCACCGGGCCCGAGTACTACGTCAGTATCATGAGCTTTGTTGACAAGGACCTTCTCGAGCCCGGCACGAGCGTGCTGCTGCATCACAAGAGCGTCAGCATCGTCGGTGTCCTGACCGACGACACGGATCCCCTTGTCAGCGTCATGAAGCTTGACAAGGCCCCGACCGAGTCATACGCCGATATTGGTGGCCTGGAAACACAGATCCAGGAGGTCAGGGAGTCGGTCGAGCTGCCACTGCTGCATCCAGAACTGTACGAGGAGATGGGCATCAAGCCGCCCAAAGGTGTCATTCTCTATGGTGCACCTGGTACAGGAAAGACGCTTCTGGCCAAGGCTGTTGCCAACCAGACGTCTGCCACTTTCCTGCGTATCGTCGGCAGTGAGCTGATTCAGAAGTATCTCGGTGACGGCCCCCGTCTCGTGCGCCAACTGTTCCAGGTATGTCTGCCTTCTTCCCCAAGGGAGCCCCGCTAATGCGATACTAGGTTGCCGCCGAAAACGCCCCCTCGATTGTGTTCATTGACGAAATCGACGCCATCGGTACCAAGCGATACGACTCGACATCGGGTGGTGAGCGTGAAATTCAGCGAACCATGTTGGAGCTTCTCAACCAGCTCGACGGTTTCGACGATCGTGGTGACGTCAAGGTACTCATGGCGACGAACAAGATCGAAACTCTCGACCCGGCCCTCATCCGTCCCGGCCGTATTGACCGAAAGATTCTGTTTGAGAACCCCGACCAGAACACCAAGCGCAAGATCTTCACCCTGCACACCTCCAAGATGTCGCTCAATGACGATGTGGACCTCGAGGAGTTCATCTCGGCAAAGGACGACCTGTCGGGTGCCGACATCAAGGCCATCTGCTCCGAAGCTGGTCTGATGGCTCTGCGTGAGCGTCGCATGCGTGTGCAGATGGCCGACTTCCGTTCGGCTAGGGAGAGAGTGCTGCGGACCAAGCAGGAGAGCGAGCCTGAGGGCCTGTACCTGTAGTGTATGATTGTGTGTGTGCTCCAAGTTCGCAGAGCGTTCGGGGGTGAACATAGAGGATGAGCGAATTCTAGAGATAATAAGCCACTGCATTTTGGCACTCGCTTGTTTATTGCGTGAGGAAGTGCAAGCATGTGATTCATGCTCAAGACTGTTGGTTGTCGATCCTCTCCGGCCGGAAAGGATGTTGACAGCATGCTCCACCTGAGGTACACAACCTTCGGACTCGATATGGATATCTGGACGCACTCATTCTACCTCGCAGTTGTCCTGCTCATCCACAAAAGTCTCCCGGACTGCGTTTCTCCAGCGTTTTTGTATGCTGTTCTGAAGTCAGCGTGCAAAGTCACTCCTATGACTTTGGACCCGTTGCTCATGCCAGATCACGGAACTCTCGCCTCAAGGGCACCCCTGCTCCAGCTGTCTGACAGCGAACCTCACATGTCGCACCATGCGAAACAAGCCTGAAGAACGACAGCGAGTCCTCATTTCAACCCACTGCAATGACGCCCTCGAGAGCGTCGACAACCGCCTCAAGCAAGTCTTTCACACAGTGACGGCCCTGCAGCGTGATGTACAGCGCCAACCGGGTCTTGGCTTTTATACGTACGAAAAGGGATTGGCTTTCACTTTTGGCCGGGCTTCGTCTATTCCTTACTACGACGTGCCGACCGAGCGTCCCAGACATCCAGATGGCATGCCTGGTATCCCTGGCCGAACCTACACGGCGATGCTCGAGCTAGCCATGCTGGCGGGTGAGAACCAACCTCAGCTATTCTCGGCTGCTGCTGAACCAACTCCCGCTGGACGCTCGTAGGCAGAAAGCAGGGGAGTTCAGGACAAAGACCAAGAAAGATTTACGATGGGCTGAAGTCGGTATGTCTGACGTCGCCACCATCGCATCTATTGATCACTGGTCTGCAACTGATCACCAAACGCCACCTCCCTTGTGCTCGTGATCTTCTTTCACTGACGATGCATTATGACGGGCTTGGCAGGGATACGTGACGTTAAATATAGCCTAGCAAGCATTTATGCGAGCATAGCTCTGATCCTTGTTCGAACTGTGTACAGGACGGCGGAACACTACGCCATGGAGGAGCTTGATGGTAAGCAGATCAGAGATGCAGCGGATATGCCCGTCATGGTGCGATACGAGGTGTTCTTTTGTGTTTTTGATGCCGCATTCATGCTGGTCAACTTGGTTCTCTGGAACGTTCTGCACACGAGTTGGTGCCTGCCTGTTGACAACAAGATGTACATTGCCCGCAATGGAGTGAGAAAAGTGAAGGGGCTTGGGTGGCAGGTCCGTCGGTCTAGGTCTGCGAGGGTGATGAATCCATCCGACCTGATGGGCATGTGTGGTCGTCGCCAGAGGGAAAAATGCGAGTTGGAGTGCATGTGAGGACCAAACTTGAGCTTGGAAGAATTACGACGAGCGGACTAATGGGCGTGGTCTGGCTTTTTCTGTTATGTTGCTGTTGTTGCTGTTGGACACTTGCTCTCCTAAGATTGTGTACGTTCAGGCTCCTTGGCCGCAGCAGGGAGCAGTTTGGTATTTAAAATGGCAGCTATACAGACAGCAATTAGGAATGGCAAAGGGCAGGCAATGAGATGGCACGATATGCCTGTGAGAATATTTTAGAGGCTTCGGTGGGGCGACATGAGCGGTCCAGCTCTACAGATCCTCGACGACGCAAACGATCGTACGACAAGACACATGAGCAATTGATACAAGAGATGATCCAAGAACACATATGAATACAGATGTTCATTCGAATATCTCCACGTGATCGACACCGTACCGTACAATGCAGTGTTCGCTCCACCGCTTCAGGAACAAAAGACACGCGGGTGCAGGGCGCTAGCCCAATGAGGATGTGGCTCACCCGCGCCTCGCCCGCTGACGTCGTCTCCATTCGCTGGTCACAACCTGGCGTCAGGCCTCCTACCTGCAAGCGTCGCAATCAAACCTACGTCCTTCCCAACGTCGCGCGAGCAGAGACACGATCCCCAATCCAACACGGCCGAACGACCAACGAAACAGCTCCTGCGCTCGACGCCGAGACCGAACAAAACACCTATCCTGATACTCGGACGACACATTGACCAGCATTCACCATGTCGTGGGCAGGTACGGCTGCTCCGAGCTTCCGAATGTACCCCTCATCGAGGGCGGCTGGGCATGGACTTGTTGTAGGCGCTGACACTGGTGGACGATAGGCTTCAAGAAGAATGTCAACCGCGCGACGACGCAGGTCATGATGAAGACGGGTTCGTCTTTCCATCTCTCCCAGCATCCAAATTATGCCCGTTTAACATTCGTCGACAGGCCATGTGGAGCGAACAAACGATCGTGATTACGAGGTCGAAGAGAGGTCAGGGGTTTCTAGCACCTCGTGTCTGTTGAACATAATGCTAATACCAGTCGCTACAGACGATTCAAGACCATGGAGGCTGCTGCCATGAGGCTACAGAAGGAGTCCAAAGGCTACCTCGACTCGCTACGAGGTAAAGCCTACCAACCCCTAACTACGCCAAGCATGTGCCGAACCGGGCTGACCCACTCGCAGCCATGACTGCTTCCCAGATGCGAATTGCCGAGACGATAGACGCCTTTTACGGAGACTCTGGCGCGAGAGATGGCGTCAGCAGGAGTTACAAGCAGGCCGTGGAGGATCTCGACGCCGAGACGATCAAGTCACTAGACGGCCCATACCAGTGCGTGTCTTCAGCACCCACCATCGAGAATCTACTGACAGAGCCCTGCCAGAACGACTGTCTTGCAACCCATCTCCCGATTCTGTGCTTACTTCCCCGACGTCAACGAATGTCAGTTGCTGCCGCATCCAGCATGTCTCTGCCCCGGCGCTCCCGTCTGCTGACACGTAACAACCTAGGCATCAAGAAGCGCGGCCACAAGCTGCTCGACTACGACTCGTTGCGCGCAAAGGTGAAGAAGCTCGCCGAGAAGCCGGACAAGGACGTGACCAAGCTGCCGCGCGCCGAGAAGGAGATGGAAATGGCCAAGGCGGCTTACGAGCAGCTCAACGAGCAGCTCTCGACCGAGCTGCCGCAGCTCATCGACCTCCGCGTCCCCTATCTTGACCCGAGCTTCGAGGCCCTCGTCAAGATTCAGCTGCGCTTCTGCGCCGAGGCTTACAGCCGCATGGCCCAGGTGCAGCAGTACCTCGACGCCGACACGCGGGAGCAGTACGCGCAAGGCCACCTCGACGCAAGGGTCGAGCAGGTCCTGCAGGAGATTCGCGAGCTGAGCATCGGCGGGACGGTCTAAGTGTGGGCTCGTGGCCTAGATGGACGATGGAGAAGCGGGTGTGCACAGTATGAGTTTCACGGCCGGCATGGGAAAGACAGGTTGAGAAGGAAGAGACTTGGCGAGGTCGCTTCGGCCGCGGTTGGACCTTTCTTTTAAAGCTCCGCGGAGCGCTTAGGGCTTTTTTGTCTTTCAAGGCGTTCATAACTCATAGATGCCATTATTTCATTTCGTAGTCTACACTCTCCATGCGAGGTTTAGACGAGGCCCTGCATTTCTTGTGGGTATCATACACGTTTGGGTCCCAAGTTGTGAGCGTTCCACCCACAGCACCAGATGGTTTCTCCGGTTCTCCATTCCTTTGTGCCCCTTTTCTCTTTCCGTTTGGGAAAAAAAGCACCACGCCTGCCGGCAGCACGGCATATGGCTCATTCGCGCCGAAAAGACAAGCGCCGCGAACCCTCCTGCCCCGAGCTCGTCATTCGTTCCGCGATGCGCTGCGCGCTCTGCAACAGCAGCTCCTAGCCGCTGAGGCCGTTGGGCGCGACGCCAAACAGAGCGCTGACACTCAGCTTCCTGCCCGTGGGCTGGGCAGCGGCCGCGGGCGGCACGTACTCCTGCTCCTGCCCCTGGCCCTGGCCCTGGCCCTGCGCCTGCACGGCGTCGTCCTCGACATGGGCCTCGCCCGTCTGCACGAGGCGCAGCGTCTCCTGGACCATGACGGCGTTGGACATGCGCGTCTCGTCGTCCTCGGTGTGGATCCAGATGCCGATGACGGTCGTGTCGATGGCGGCGTCGGCGGCGTCGCCCTCGGGTTTGACGCCGGCGAGGACGTCTGTGCCCTCGTCGAGGCGGAAGATGTAGATGCCGTCCATGACCTCAAAGTGGCCGACGCTCGCGAGGTCGATGCTCACGTTGTTGAGGCCGCGGCGGTTGAGGACGAAGATGCAGGCGCGCGGCGGGGCTGCTGCTGCCGCTGCAGCGATCGAAGGGTCCTGCGCCGATCCCGCGTCCGGGGCGAGGAAGCAGAGAAAGTAGGTGCCCTCGATGCCGGCGCGCTCCCAGGACGAGGTGGCGGGCGCAAAGGTGTAGACGACGGCGTTGGCGGCGATGGAGAGGATCGAGTGGATGGCGGGGATGTGGCGGCGCAGGGCGGCGAGGTTGAGGTCGGTGTTGGTGCGGTTGAGCAGGGCCGGGTTCGGGGCTGGGGCGGCGGCGTTTTGGTCGAGGAGCGCGTGCGCCGGCGCGTCCGAGTCGTAGTCGGATGTGACGGGGTTCGCGTGACGGTGCGAGGCCGAGGAGTGACGGGCGTGACCGCCGCCGCGCTTGCCGCGGGGGGTTTGGTTGACCATGGTGTTGTTGGGCTGCCCGATGTTGGTGCGTGATGACGGTGTTGGCCTGTGGAGGAGTGTGGATGACTGTGACAAAGTACGCTCCTTGGGGGCTAGGAGTACAGAATGAACTGGAGGACCGTTCGAGGGAAGATTGGGTGGCTATGTGCAGTGAAGAGGTGCGTCGTGGTGGTTTCGCTACTCAATCGGCAGCAATAGGTGTGGTCGCTGAGGCATGTCACAGTGAGGCTCGCCTCGAAGTCGTGACGATTGGGTCGATGGTAGCTGATAAGAGCTCAACCTTATCGGCCGCCACCCCACCAAGCAAGCGCTGAAGCACAGCACCAAGCAGCAGCCCAACGTGACAGGGTAGCACCAGAGCTGTAGAGCGAAGGACAGGGCAGTACCTAGGTACAGGCACTGAGGTACCTCAATCGCCTTACTTACCTACCTACGTGGCTACCTAAGATAAGGTACCTCAGGTAGGCACGCACAGCAGGGTACCGCGAAGGCAAGCACATGCCTGCTGCGCCCCGCTGTCGTCACCTGCAATGGTCGCTGACGTCCCCCCCCCATGTTCATCTACCTCTGGTACATCCCGCATTCAGCATTCGGCATCCAGATTCAGCATCCTTGATTGCTTCATCCTCTTCCCGACGCGCGCATTTGCCTGCCCTGTGCGAGCTGGTCGTGCAGCCTTGTCATAGTCTGACAATTTTCACAACTCGCATATACCATGATCTTGTGTCTTTCGGAGGCCTGCTTCACCTGCACTCTACTTCCCTGACTTGACAAGTCTTCCTGCCTCTTCGCACGCGACAACATGCGCCTGGCGCAGCCTTGTGCACACCCCTCGACGAGTCCCTCTGGACCTTGATTTCCGACCTGCCATATACCTCATCTCCAACATCTTGCATCATGGCTTCCCACGATCCAGACCAGTCCTTGGATTCTGCCACCTCCGAGCCCATCGACCTGACCTCCACCCCGCACTCTCTCGCTCGTGCCGTCTATGCACGCCGCGCCGAATATGTACGACCACATCGCATACGGGTCAAGATTGGCTCGTGGAACGTCGCAGCGTGTCCCGGTGCCGACAAGGACCTTGCTAGCTGGTTCGTCCAAGGCAAAGGCGTCGACAAGTGCTTTGCCACCGTCGACCTGGCTCATAACCCCGCAGTCGAAGAAACAGGCGCGAGCAACCCGGGCATCTCTTCCGAGGACCACAACGAAGTCCGCCTGGTTGGCGGCGACAAGATTGGTCTCTACGTGCTCGGCCTCCAGGAGATTGTCGACCTCAATATGGCGCGGGACGCCGTCACGCGCATGTACTCTGACCCCGAACCCATGGCCAAGTGGAAGGAAGCGCTCGAGGAGGCCATGCCGCCCGGCTACGAGCTCGTCACGGCCGAGCAAATGTCTGGCCTCTTGCTCCTCGTCTACGCCTCGCCCGAAGTTGCCGCGACGGTCGGCAACGTCAGCACCGTACAGGTCGGCACCGGCCTGTTTGGCTATCTCGGCAACAAGGGCGCCGTCACGACGCGCATCCTGCTCGGCGAGACAACGCGCATGGTCTTTGTCAACTCTCACCTCGCTAGTGGCGCCGAGCAGACGTACCTGGAACGTCGTCTGTGGGACTGCAACCAGATCCTCACGCGCACCCAATTTGAGCCGGTGCAGCTGGCTGGGTCCACGAATCCCACGCCGGAAAAGATTGGTGACGAGGACTTTGCCTTTTGGCTGGGCGACCTGAACTTCAGGCTCGAGGGCCTGCCGGGCGACGACATTCGCCGGTTGCTGATGCTGCACACGCGAGGCGAATACGACTTGTCGAAGAAGAAGAAATACTTCGACGGCGAGGAAATGTTCGTTGTCAAAAATGTCGACGACAGCAGTGATGACGAGTCGACGACGGCGTCGACCGTGTCCCCGAGGAAGCCCGATTTTGACGAGTCGAACACTACCTTACCAGATCCCGACGACTTCTTGCCCGACCCGCACGACGACCCTGCTTCGCTCCAGGCTACCTTAGACTCGCTGCTGCCCCATGATCAGCTGGGTCGAGTGATCAGGGAGAAAAAGGCATTCCACGAGGGCTGGCGTGAAGGGCCTGTCACCTTCTTGCCCTCGTACAAATACGACGTCGGCACCGTCAGTCTATTCGACTCGAGTGAAAAGCAACGGGCTCCAAGCTGGTGCGATCGCATCCTCTACCGCACGCGAAAGGACAAGTTGGAGTACGAAAAGAAAGTGCAGGAGGCCGAGGAAGCGAAGAAAAAGGACGAGCAGATGAAGGCACAGGGTCTGGAGGATGCTGCTAATGACGACGATGTGCTGTTCAGCTACGACCCGGAGACGGATGCCGATGCCGAGGAACAGCCCAAGGGGGCTTCCGATGCATCCTACGACGAGTATGACGAGTATGACGACAACGAAGAGAACGCGACTGAAGAAGTGGTAACGAAGGAGGGCTTTACTGATCGGATACACCTCGATATTTACACATCACACCAGCGTATCACATCATCAGATCACAAACCTATCATATCTATCTTCACCTTGGACTACGACGCCGTCGTGCCGGAACTGAAAGCCAAGGTTCACGCCGAAGTCGCCAAGGAGCTGGACCGCGCCGAGAACGAAGGCCGGCCGCTCATCACTGTTGTTGTCGACACGCAGGATGGCACAGGCAAAGAGGCGTCTGGACGACCAGCGGATCAAGGCGATCCCGTCGATTTTGGTGACATAAGCTACCTGCGAAAGCACACGACGCGCTTGACGATTGCCAACACTGGCCGCGTGCCAGCCAAATTCGCCTTTGTCGAGAGGCCATCGGAAGACGCCGCCACCAACAGCCCACCGCACTGGTTGAAGACACGCTTCAGCCGCAGCGGCTCCGATGACGATGACGAGGAGGCCGAGAAGCTGGGGGATGATGTGACGCTTGAGCCGGGCGAGACCCTGGGTGCCGTGCTTGAAGTCTTGATCGACGACGTTTCACGTGTTCGGGCTCTCAACGGCGACCGGGTGAAGTTGGAGGATATCCTTGTTCTGCGCGTCGAAGACGGGCGAGATCACTTCATCCCGGTCCGAGCGACATGGCTGCCGTCATGTTTCGGCCGATCGATCGAGGAGCTTATCAGGATCCCCGACGGCGGGATTAGAACGTTCGCCAAGTCGAGGTTACCAAAGACCGGCTCGATACCGTATGATCTCGACGTCCACTCAGCAGCACCCAAAGAACTCTTCAAGCTTACAGAGGTGATTGAAACGCTTACTACAAGGGTTCTTGCCGACGCCAACATGCTCGATCAGCAAGTCATTCCAGCCGACAGGCCTGGCTGGCCGTTTGAGAAAGCCACATGGCTTTTTAAAGATCAGGCGGCTCGCGATAAGCAGGTTCTCGCCCTCGTTGAGGCTCTCGATAACGACACACCTCTTTCTGATGCCCTCCCGCTCGACAGCCCAGCACCGCACCGCCTAGAAGTCGCCGGTGAGGTCCTCGTTCTCTACCTACAGGGCCTAACCGACGGGATCATCACTGCGCCGTTATGGGCCAAGATCGAAGTCGCGCTTCCCCAGCTCGGCTCCACGTCACCAATCCGCACGGCGGAGGAAGCAGAAGACGACAAGGCCACGATCCTCGACATTCTCGCCTCCGCGCCGAACCACAACATCGCCTTCGTCTTCCTTACAGCAATGCTCTCGAAAACAGCCGCCGAACTGACGCCTATTGCCAAGGCCGAGCTCGAGGCCCTAACCTCGACTGCCAGCAAGCGCCTCAGTGTCATCGGCCGCCGCAGCCTCAGCTTCCGCCGCATGACGGGCGGTGGCAGCAACACGGCGGCAGCCGAGGCGGCGCTGGCGCGACGAAGGGCCAAGGAGAAGAAGTTCGCCGAGGTCATGGGCCGGTCTGTCAGTCGCGTCACGCTGCCGGCCAAGGACAAGGAGAGAAAGGTTATCGAGGAGAAGCTGAGGGGCGCTGTGGAACTTTTCGTCCGGAGGAGTTTGCAGGACTTATGAGGGGGTTTGTGGTTTGTAGGTTTTGTGTTGCCTGGAGTGTTGGGTATATATGATTGGCGCTTGGTGGATATGATGTGACGGGTGTCTTGGGGTTTGAGCGTTGTGCTTGGTACATGTTTTTTGTTACTGTTACCTGCACTGCGAGCATTAGATCCTTGCATAATCAAGTGCTTAGCATCCTAGACAGTCTCTCGAGAAATACACCCTGTCAGGACTATTCCAGCTAGATTTCCTTGGAGCCATCCACATCTTCTAGTCACAACGACGCAGACCCTGTCGTTGACAGGCTCGATCCTCAACATGATCTCCAGCATACCACGAGGGGCATCAATCTCACAAGGCCCTGACGTCGTGTCGTCTTGACAACAGTCTAATTATTGTTCTCGGGGCTTTTCAAGACTGAGTCACCTCTAACTTACTTAACCATCCATATCGCACAGAGCTGGGCAACACTTGACACACCTGAGGCCATTGGGATCATCGCCACGATTGCCAACGCTGCGGGTTCTTTGCATCCCTTTCATCCGGAGGCAACTCTGACTCCCTAGCCATACTCAATTTAGCAGTGTGTACCCTTGCCAGTCAACCCCTCACCTTCCCTCATGTTGTTTCTCACATCCGGTGAAGCCGCGGGGTGCGCGGCAGCAAGGCCATCACTTGAAGGGTCACATGGCAGCACCGACATTTCAAATAATAGAAGGGAAGGGCGATTTGCGCCAGGGCCCCAAAAGTACGACCTGTCCCGAAAGGCGACATGGTCAGGGGACGCCTGTCATGATTCCTTTCCCCCCATGTGCCGGCAGACCTGACTCCACCCCAGTTCGGCCGAAATTCACAACTGCAACCTCGCCCGCTGCCGAAGACCCGTTTACCCACCACGATTTGCGGTTCCAGGCCCTGGACCTTGCGGTGCCTGTTTCAGGATCGCTGCCCAGGAGACCCAGGGCCAGAGAAGAATGAGAAACCACCCCGGTGGAAAGGCAGCTCGGCATGTAAGGAAGGTTGTGTATTTAGGCGGTTTGCCTAATTTGCGACGATCATGCTTGCTTGTCTCGATCCCCCCCCTGTCTCTTCAACTGACGTCGTTTGACGTGTCAGTAGGACTGGAATTCTAACCTTTCTCTTCCGTGTCTCCGTGCTCCGTGCTTCATGTGTCCTGCGCCGGATAGATTGCGGGGTGCTCAAGTGCAACCTGGACGGCGCCATCGTGAGGCTCTCACGGGGTTGGACCTCATGGGCAGGCTTCGAAAGGGGCTCGCGGCCAGAATGAGCCCGGGGCTTGCGAGATTGGCGTTTTCATATTAGCCGGTCGATCAATTGACGATGTTCAATATAAGATCAATGGCTTCTCAAGTGTGAGTTGGCGTCGGTTCTTGATTCATCAGCCATAGTACAGCCCAAGGTCCCATCACACCTTTTCTAGAGTCACTTTCAACATGAAATTCTCGCAGATCCATCTCGCCCTCCTCCTGGCCCCTTTGGCCGCGGTAGCTAGTCCCGTTCCCGAAGCTGCCTCGCATGTAGAGTCGCGCCAGGCCGCGGCCAGCATCGACAAGCTCTTCAAGGCCAAGGGCAAGCTGTACATCGGCGTCGCCACCGATCGCGGCCTGCTGCAGACGGGGAAGAATGCCGCCATCATTCAGCAGGACTTCGGCCAAGTCACGCCCGAGAACTCAATGAAGTGGGATGCCCTCGAGCCGAGCCGTGGCTCGTTCAACTTTGCGGGCGCCGACTTTCTCGTCGACTGGGCGCAGACGAACAGCAAATCGATTCGCGGCCATACCCTCGTCTGGCACTCTCAGCTGCCGCAGTGGGTGAAGGATATCAAGGACCGCGATGACCTGACCAAGGTCATTGAGAACCACGTCAAGACCATTGTCACGAGGTATAAGGGCAAGATTCGCGCCTGGGTATGATTGACTTGCTTGTTGATGATGTGTCAAGCTTTGCACTTTTCTGATCTGCTGTCAGGATGTCGTCAATGAAATCTTTAACGAGGACGGTACCTTGCGCTCTTCCGTCTTCTCTGATATTCTTGGCGAGGACTTTGTCGGCATTGCGTTCCGTGCGGCTCGTGCCGCGGACCCAAACGCCAAGCTGTACATCAACGACTACAACCTCGACCGCGCCAACTATGGAAAGGTGAACGGACTCGTCAGCAAAGTCAACAAGTGGATCGCTGCAGGCGTTCCAATTGACGGTATCGGTGCGTAGACCTGTTCCATGCAGGCCACCTACCTTATGCTGACATTGCACCACAGGCTCTCAAACGCACCTCGATACCGGTGCGGCAGGCAATATCAAGGGCGTGCTTCAGCAGCTGGCTTCCACGCAGGTCTCCGAGGTGGCCATTACCGAGCTGGACATCAAGACCGCGCCGGCGGCTGACTTTGCCACGATTGTGGGTGCTTGCCTTGATGTTCCCAAGTGCAAGGGCATCACCGTCTGGGGTGTGAGCGACAAGGTAAGCTTCTATTGCTTGACAAGAGTTTGCATCGGAGCTGATAGTATGCAGGACTCGTGGAGGCAGGGTGCCAACCCTCTGCTCTTTGATGCCGACTACAACCCAAAGGCAGCTTATACGGCTATCGTCACGAAGCTGAGCTGATGTTTCAGTCCTGTTGTCTCTGCGTGTGGGATCTTTGAGTCCCATGGGGATGCTTGCCTTGAAGGATAGCCGACACTACTTGAACATACTTATACTAACTGTACATACTTGTGGCTTCATTGTCTCTGACCAAAGGTCTACCTGCAAGAATTGGGCATCTGGATGCCTTTCCTGTCAGATCTCATTTTGTGCGCACGTGGCATTCGGACTGTTCACTGGTGACAACGAATCCATGCCGAACCCTTGCAACCCCCGCAAAAGTCTGTCACAAGTCTCAACGGCGTTGCTGGACGGGCCCAACGCCTGGGACTGATTACGTGATAGGATAGTTAATGGCACATAACCATACTGTCTGAGTTCTTACCCCCGTCGGCTCCCATGTTAATGTATGCAGGTTGAATATTTGCAAATCTCCCTGCTTAATGATTGTAGACCTATCACTGACATAGCCCGACCAGGCGGGTATAGCAGATCGACTGTGATCTCCTTTCAAGATAGAAAGCCACTACAACAACCTGGAGTAGAATACGTTCAGCGAAGTCCACGTGTCATGTGATCACACTTGAAATATTTTAACCATCTCAAAACAGAGTTAATTTAATCCATAGATGAACGTCCAAAAATTAGGTCCCAAATGATTCGACATTGTCAATTCTAGACGTCGTCTTAAAAGGGCTTCTGCGCCAAGACGGAGACAGGCCTCCAGTTATACACAAGACCCTTGTTGTATTCGTGAATGAGCCGACCTAGAGCTGTTTCACACGAGGAAATCAACGTCACCAAGCTTCCATCATCCGATCTCTTGATACCTTCAAAAATCTCTGTGAGAGCCATCAAGTAGGTGTTGGTGCACAGCTGTGTCATGCTCGGAGAGAAAACATTGGTTTTCTCGTCTCGCAGCAGAAACGCCTCCTGCTCAAGCGACCTTGGGATTTTACGCACCCAGCTGATTGTTCTCGTCAGATCAGGGATCCCAGACAATAGTAGTCTTTCCTGAGCTTACCTGTAATCAATGCCTGCTTTGCTGAACAGATCCTTTGCCACAACCTCTAGTTCTTGAGCAGGTTGAGACTGCAGATGTTGGTCTACTAGATCGGCATCTTCCCACTGAACAAAGCCGCCCGGTTCTACAGTCGTGTTAGCCATGGTTTATACTTGCCTACGGATAAAATCTCTCTGTCGTACTCAGCATTGCTTTCAAGTTTTTAATGAGAATGCTGGCTTCCCTGCTCCTCAGGTTACTCGCCCACATTCTGACGTGGATCACATCATAGTAGCCAAGAAGTCTCGAAGGTGGGTCTTCCAGCGCATTCAGAATCCCGAGGTCGAGATTCTCCGGCCATAGAGCCTGAGGCGGGAATTGATTGGCTGATATGTCGTATCCATGGAGTTGAGTGTCAAGAGGAAGATTTTGCGCCAGGTCGAGAAGCCAAATCCTACTGCGTTGTTAACCCCGCGGTGTTTCGAATCAAAACTTCTCAGAAGTCTTACGCTGTTCCAGTGCCGACCTCAGCAATCCTGAGAGGCTCAGATTTCTTGATCGAAGGATGAAGGACATAACCGAGATGAAGCTTCCACAGCAAGTGTTGAGCGTCAAGTCTACGTCAGTCGTTAGCGTGTCCTCCCATGGCCCTCAGAGACATGTATTCTATGAACCTGATTGACTCGCGAATCCCGCGACCTAAAACGTAGTCATCAGATTCCTTGTTGATGCTTCCCATGATGAAAGAGTGATATTTTTACGTTCGGATGTTGGAGAGCAAGGCCTGAGTACTTCCGATAACGCAGGTCTTCCGAATTGGTCCAGCCAAGATGATATAGACTTCATCTCTCCAAGCTAATGATGGACTGAATCTGCCAAACACATTTTTTGACCTTCAGTTACATCATCTGACGAGATCTTGAAGATGGAATCGGGCCTTTGTCGGGAATTTCTGTCGGAGATGATTCAACTACACTGCCGAAACCAAGCTGATGAAACTTTTGAGAAAACGTTAATTCCTGCTCTGAGTATTCGCGCGCTATCGCAGGATTTCACGACATGAGACACAATGACCTGTTGTTCAATGATCGCCAAGACTTGCCCCTCGATGACCACAATGTGTAGATCATAGTTCGAGATAAGAGATTCCATTCCTAAGCGAGACTGGCTTGGCAGTCCGTTTCTCTCGCATTGTCCATTCCAGTATCAACGTCTGGACCAAAGCCAAAAAGTTTGCTCACTAGGCTTCATTCCCTTCCGAGACATACGGGGCGGCCCGTCCCCAAACTTGGACACGACGGATTGTCAATTACGTGGGCGGTTTGTACGGCATACCCTGAGCTTCATGGATGGGTGTGCAGTGAGCATGCCCAAAAGTATATTAACAAGGCCGAGGCTGATAGCTCGGGTGTTGGGGAGAGCGGCACAACTTACACCAAGAACCATCTATTCAGACAATATCTCTCTCTCTTATTATCAATGTCTTCCCAGCAATCCTTCACGTTCTCGCCCGGCACAGGGACTCCTATTGACAGAGTCGCATCTCTTCTCTCTACTCTCGGTGCTGAACCATACTACGCCTACGAGCGACAAGGCCACTGGCATGTAGGCATTGGCAGTCTCGCATCCTTGGCTATCGGGTCGGATGGACAGCACGCCACAATTTCTACGCTCGATGGAAGCGAGTCCCTAGCTATTGAGTCTAGCCTCGCCGACGTAGCGCGAAACTTCCTCCGCACTCACCCAGCTGCGGGAAAGGTTTTCGGCTTTGCAGGCTTCAACTATGCACCCCACATCAAAGGCCTCATGTACCACGCAGGGCGATGGCCTCTCCTTACTCTGATGATTCCCCAGGTTGAGCTGAACATAAATTCTGGGGGGTTCACCATCTCAGGGGGCGGAGAGAACCAAGGTCGATACATCGAGTCTGTGCTGAAGGGAGGCGAGACACCACGCGGATCCCCTCACATGCCCGACTGGCAGACTGATCAACATCGAAAAGTGTACATGCAGTCGGTGGAGGACGGTCTGTCTCAGATTAGAGAGGGTCGCTTGGCCAAAGTCATCCTCTCCAGGGCAGTTGATCTTCCGGGCCCCGTCAACATGCCTCAGACGCTCCTTACAGGGCGAAAGTCGAATACTCCGAGGACAACCTTTTGTCTTTCTCATGGCGGTTTCCAGGCCACCGGATTCAGTCCCGAATTGGTCATGTCTCTGGAGAATGGCCGCGTCACCACAGAACCGCTGGCTGGTACCCGTTCATGTGGTTCCAGCGACGCTGAGCGTCTGAAACTGCGACAAGAACTTCTCAGTGATTCCAAGGAGATTGTGGAACACGTTCTGTCCGTCAAAGCCGCGGTCGAGGAACTTGAGCAGATTTGCTCGAACGATACCGTCGTTGTCGACGATTTCATGTCGATCAGGGAACGCGGCAAGGTGCAGCATCTTGGGTCCAGGGTGTGCGGACAGTTGAACGAGGCGAAGGATGCCTGGGACGCGTTCGATGTTCTTTTCCCATCGATCACTGCGTCTGGGATTCCAAAGCAGCCTGCCCTTGAGGTCATCACCTCCCTTGAGACACGGCCTCGTGAACTGTACTCTGGCAGCGTCATCATGCTTGAAGGATCGGACTTTTTTGAGGGAGCCCTGGTACTCAGATCGGTCTATCAAGATGAGGAAAAGGCATGGGTGCAGGCAGGCGCAGGAATCATCGATCAGTCTGAGCCCGCGCGCGAGTTTACTGAGACAGTTGAGAAGCTTAGCACCATCGCGCCATTTGTGGTGCCTCTTTGAGTAGTTGGCATCCTGCGTCCTTGGGCGGACGAGTCAGTAGCGTTGTTTCTATATCATCCGTTCCCAAATACATTCCTTTTCGTGCTTATACATCACGATCCGTGGCTTCCTGATGCATGCTGTCCAGCGATGCCTCCATTCGACCAACACTGAACGCTAACACAATTCGAGGCTTCTACTGAACAGTGAAGCTTTAGCTAGGGCAAATAAAAGGGGTGAGAATTACTATATCAGTTATTAGAAATCCCCGTCCCATAACAAGTGGTCGGTTAGCTCAGTTGGTTAGAGCGTGGTACTAATAATGCCAAGGTCATGAGTTCGACCCTCATACTGACCAGCGATTGCTTTTGCCATTTCAACTCTGTCCCCGTTTTTGCCGTTGCGCCCTGTAAGAAACATTTGAACTCCTCCCTTGGAAGCCATGTACAAATAACGATCCAAAATGCAAATCATTCACCATAGGACAAGTCCCTTTTTGAATCTGAGCAGTGCCCAATCTTCCACCATGTCATGCACCTAATCCTTATCACCAGCAACACCAAACTACAAATACATCAGGAAAGTGTCTAGGCCCCTAGCAGGCAGCTGCCACCTCACCTCCGGTCCTCATAGTCCACATCTCTACCTCATCAGCCTGCCAGAGCACCGTGAATAAATGTCGCGCAAACTCATCAACATCGGCAGCCGCGATCCCAACCTCAGGCAAGTCATGGCCTCGCAAGCAGTGCAGGAATAGCGGACACGTCCCCAGAACCGTAGCCTCCCACCTCGCCGCGCCGGCGGCGTCCCATAGACCGGCCCGCTGCGTGATGTATACGTCGCCCCGGCAGGCGTGACTGTACGGCGGCCCCGAGGAGCGAAGATTGAGGTAGACGCCCGCCGTAATGTGGGCGATGAGGTAGGTGCGGCGGACGGACTCCGTGAGGATAAATGCACGGTAGAGGCCCGTGATGGGGTCAGCGGCCGGGGTGCCGAGCGGCACGAGGGAGGAGGTGGCGGCGTCGAGGTTCGCCGAGTCCCAGAGCTGGCGGGTCCAGCGGAGCAGGGTGTCAAGGTGGGACTCTGCCTCGGCGCGACGCCTGATGGAGGACGAGAAGAGGCCGAGGAGGACGTGGATGAGGAGGGCCTGGGTGCGGGCGAGGTGCGCCGCCGTCGAGAGATTAGGGACGACGACGTGGCGGTCATCCGCATACCGGGCGAGAAGGGCGGAGAGGTAGGCGGAGGAGATAGGGCTAACGATATACTCGTTGTCTGGCGTCGCGCTTTGGGAGAGGGCGATGGCGGCTATGGCGTCGCGCATGTCTTGCGGCATATGAGTCTCGGTGTAAAGACGGCGGTGTATCAGAGGGCTGTGGCCTTGCCTCAGGTAGCGGACAAGCCAGGCTTGCAGGCCGCGGACAAAGTCGTTCAAGACGGAGGCCTGGTGGAGCGTAGGAGGGAGCGTGAGTTGCTGGTCCAGGACCCATGCTGAAGGTGGGAGAAACCAGGTCATAGTCTGATAGGACAGCATGAGGTCGCTCACAATAGACGTCTTTGGCCTAGGTGCCGACGAAGAAAGCAACTCATCGAAGTACCTGGCTTCGAGGGGGGTGTCGGGGAATGGGCCCTCTGATCCGGCATACCCCGTCCGCGAGCCTTGCTTATCATCTTCTGCGTCAACACGGGGCAGTCTCGGGCTGTCGTCACTTCCATGTCCCCTAGAAGCAGAAAATGTTGGCCCACCGCTTGGCAGACGATGCCCGTCAGACTCAGACGGCAGTTGATAGCGCCGTCGTTTTGGCGGAGGGTATACACAGTCGACATCTCTGTTGAGACACCTCAGGCATGAGGGGAGGGTCTTGTCACAGCGGCGCTTGGCATCAGTACAAGCACGACATGCTCGCTGCCTGGATATCTCGTCATCCATTATTGGAGCAGGGGCTGCAATAGCAAAAGCCGCAAATCTGTGTTAAGCATAAGAATGGCTTGAAGATTGTCTTCTAGGTGTTGAAGTAGATGATAGCGGATAATTCATTGTCTTCTGGCAAGAAAGGGGGTTTCGCAGTGCAACCATGTAACGTGAGTCGCTCGTTTGTAGCGGTGAAGTACCAATGCAACTGTAGCTGGTCGAATCTGGGTGAAGTTGCAGTGGTATCTGTTATCGGGCAACCTGCGGGCAACTTGCGGACAACCTGCGGATACCATGCGGATGTATCACAAATCACTCCCGGGACCAGCGGAGTTGGGTTAGCGGAGCGACGAGTCCATCGGTCCGGCCCCAACGAACATTATGTGATGTGCACAGCAAAAAATCACGTCAAGGAGCCTTGTTGCGTGGTTTCTGATAACAAGCGCAAGCAAGATGAAAGACAAGAAGTATGTCAGTAGTTATAAAAGGCCTTCGCGCCGAGTCAAGTCTAATATTGCGCCTCTCGTGGTCAAAAGACTCTCGAGCACTCCCCAACGAGACAGACGGACTGCTCGCACTTGCACACTGCCGACCTCTCCCATACAACGCCCATCATGTCGAGATCAAAAGTGTCTGCGGAGGATATCAGCGACAAAGTCGTCTTTAGTGCCCCTGTAGGGGTTAAGACTATCCATAAAACCACCTATCCTACTATTTCCGTCACTCGGCCTGAGCTGAGCCAGGCCGGCAAGACTATCCTCGTCACCGGCGGCTCTGCTGGCATCGGCCAAGGCATTGTCAGGTCATACGCCGAAGCCTCTGCTTCGCGGATCATCGTCACGGGCCGCCGCCGCGGCACTCTCGAAAAGTCCACTTCTGAGCTGGCCGCCGAGTTCCCTAAGACAGAGTTCATGGCTCGTGTGAGCGACGTCAGCAGTCTCGAAGACACGGCTGCTCTGTGGTCTGGTCTCGCGGCTCAGGACATCACCGTTGACGTCCTGGTATTGAACGCCGCTGCGCAGGGCGGCCCCGGCGCTCTCATCTCGTTCAGTCTCGACACGGTTTGGGCCGACTATGTCACCAACGTGCGCTCGCAGCTCGACTTTGTCCAACGATTCCGCGCCCAAAAGGGTTTCGAGGACAAGAGGAAGGTAGGACCCCATATTTTTCGTTTGTCATTCTGCATTCCTTCGTTTTGTTAGGCTCACCGGATCATGCATCGCTGACTGTGTTTGCTTGATATAAACAGTATCTCGTGTTCATCACCACGGCCGTCATCCACACCCCGGGCATAGACAAAGTGATGCCCTCTTACTACCTGACAAAGCAGGCGAGCCATTCCCTGGTCCAGACGCTCGCCGACGCAAGTAATCCTAAGTTACTTCAAATCAACCTGGTACACCCCGGCCTCATCTACTCCGAGGCTGCTGCCAAGGCTGGCATAGCGCCTGATAGTCTTCCTTTTGACGACAGTAAGTCACGCATGCTCTTCAAGACCTCCGGGACACCTCTTGCGTGTTTGCTTGTCTTTCAAAAAACATTGGTCGACTGACGCAATCTGATCGACATAGTGAAGCTGCCGGCCGACTACAGCGTGTGGGCGGCTACGGAGGAGGCGACGTTCCTGCATGGCAAGCTCGCCTGGGCCGCCTGGGATGTGGATGAACTTCGCTCGGAAGAGTCGAAGAAGGCGTTTGAGAGCAACCCTCATCATCTCAGCATCCGCCTGATAGGTGTATAGACGGTTGATGCGACATTGCGTGAGAGCACCAGCTGGCGATACTGGCGAGGCTTTGGTGGGGTTAGATATTGCAGTCAAATACACTGCTGCAAAGCCGACCACATCAAATATAGAGGAAATCCAATTTCATGCGCAGGTGAGCTCTCATGAGGCCACAAAAGGCCGGAGGATGCGTGTGGTTGATGCCGTTGAGTTGGGTTGAAGAGGGCGCGCTGGCGGAACAGTCAGCAGCATGCTGTAACCGGGGCACATTACCACTATAACAAGCGACAAGCAGCTTGATCAGTCACTAAATGCGCTATACTCCTATCGGTTTATCGCTCTTACGACCATTTTCTGGCAGGACCTCAGTCAGTTAGCTTCGTCATTATGACTTTTGCATCCGCTCTTCTCGTAGCAACTGCTTCGCTGCTTTTGCGCCAGGAAACACCATTCAGCAACCACCTCGCTGTCCGCTCGACCATGTATTCTCCTTGAGCTCGCAATTGGCATAGCATCGCCGTTATCATGTCTAGCCTTTGGACAATCCCCATCTGCCGGGCTGGTCGTCCCTGGTCAAGGCCTCCGCAGCTCGCATCTCGACGACCATGGACGACGACTTCGCCATGGCGACTGTATTCGACCACCTCAACTGTCCCGCCCTCCTCACGCGCCTCCGATATTCGCGATGTCTCCTCGCTTCCCAATCGCATCACGCCTAACTATCGCGAACCGCGAACCTCGAACTCTGGGCTTCTCTCCCTTCACTGGCCACAGCCTCCTCGCAACATCCTCCTCATGCCTAAGCTGCGCTCGCCTCAAGTCCTCCGAGCGACAGTCGACTTTGCGAAACACCTGAAGAGCACATACTCTGGCCTCAATCTCATCTTCGAACCTCGCGTCGCCCAGATGGTGCACGACCAGCTCGACTTTCCCATCCACACATGCGACCCCTCGCAGTTCCCCGACAAGATTGACATGATCACGACCCTCGGCGGTGACGGCACCATCCTGCGTGCTGCCAGCCACTTCAGCGTCTACTCCTCTGTGCCGCCCATCTTGGCTTTCAACTTTGGCACCATTGGCTTCCTGGCCGAGTGGAAGTTCGAAGAGTACAAGCGCGCCTGGAGAGAAGCCTACATGTCTGGCAGCAGGGTACCACACCAAGACCTCTTGACCCCGCACACGAGGGTCGCTACGGGGGAAAAAACACACGAAGCCGAAACGAATGTAGCCTCTGGCTGGCAAGATGCCCCGGGCAAGAGCATGGGGCCGAGCCGAGCGTCCAAGATTCTGCTTCGGCACAGGTTGCGCGTCGGAGTCTACGACCCCAACGGCCAGAACATCAACAGCCAGCTGCACCCGACGACCAAGTCGCAGTCTCATCTTCCCGCCGTGCCGCCCGAGGATACAAAACTGGCGCACAAAGACTCGCCCCCGCAGATTCATGCCCTCAATGAGATCCTCATCCATCGAGGGCCGAAACCCCATCTTGCCATCATCGACATCTATCTAAACAACCGGTTCCTGACCGAAGCTGTGGCCGACGGCATCCTGCTGAGTACGCCTACCGGATCGACGGCATACAGCCTGAGTGCTGGTGGCTCAATCATTCACCCGCTCGTCAAATCCCTCCTCATCACGCCAATCTGCCCGAGAAGTCTGAGCTTCCGACCGCTGGTCCTACCCCTCAACACGCAGGTCACTCTCAAAGTTAGCAGCAAGAACCGCGACGGCGAGCTCGAGGTCAGCATCGACGGCAAGAGAAGTGCCGGCGTGCGCATTGGCACCGAGATCCGCGTCGAAGGCGAGGCTGTCGGCGTAACCAACGATGGCAGCTGGAAGGGCGGCGTGCCGTGCGTCATTTGCGGCCCCGGCAAAGGGGACTCCGCCGAGTTCGACGACGATGGCTGGGTCGGAGGACTCAATGGCCTCTTAATGTTCAATCATCCCATTGGAAGGGGGTGAAACTTAATTCAATGATACCCGTTCCACGTCCTTTGTAGGTACTGGAGCCCACTATTCCACTCACATTTATTTTTCCCGGGCGTCACCTGTCACACATCTCTCGAGATCCAAGTATGATGACCCATCGAAAACTTGCGCACGTCCTCGGCGAGAGGATAGCATGGCGACTGTGTGCAGTATTGTTTCGAGGGCGAGTATTTCGTCGATTGTGAAAGGCTTTGAGGAGTCGTCTTTGTCAGATCCAAGCTTGGCATTCCACCCACGCAAAGAGAGCACATGGACAACCAGCTCCGGCCTTTGTTGTCACCATGTTGAGTCTCAACCCGTCGCTTCTTTTCCGCCTTTGACCATGTCTCAATATCGACCATCTTTGTGTCGCTCGAGGTCGCCCACGAAAGCCAGGGGGGTTCTATCATTTGCTTTGCCACGATGTCATTGTCATACAAATCGGTGGCGCCACTGCGCAGTCGAGGGACTCGGGAGACGTCTACGGCCTCTGTTCCATCATAAGGGTCGTACCACCATCAACTGACGGAACGACTCTTTCGGCACTGATTCGCATCTCGAGCAAGTACCATAAGTTGCCAGTATTGTTTCAAGTGACGTCCGAAACGAAACGATGGAAGACCAACCGATGATCAACGCGGCCGATGAGAATCGTCACGATGAAGACGATCGCTGCTTCTCCTTCAAAGCTGTGCGGGCTGCCGTTGACGACATATTTGCCTCGATCCGCAGTCGCAGACAGCGGAGAAGAGAGAATCGAGCCGCACGGAGGAACGAACACGACGAGCTCCATGACCTTACCTCAGATGACCAAGCACCGTCCATCGACGATCTCATTGCACAGCCCGCCCCTGCTCTGCCTCAATATGGTGCCGGCATGTCGCTGCCCCGTTTCGTGAACAATACGAGGGCCGAACCGAGCTGGCTCGACCTCTGGGCCGCGAACAACGAGGCCTGGAGCCGGTCGCGGGAGATGTGCCGCGTGCCGGACGAAATCGTAAACATGATTACAGAATACTTTGTTCGATCGCAGCCATCGGTCAAGTATGTGACGGTCCGAGGCGTGTATCACTGCACATGCCAGGACCAGTACCGGCAGGTCAAGACTTGGACGGGCGATGGACAGCCTGCGTACGGCGAACACTGCTGGTGCCACATTCGAAATCTGAATCTCCTGACCCTTGGCTCTACCCTGAGGCGAGATATGCGCTTGCCAGAAGACGACACTGTGCGCGCCGCTGCGGTTGGCGTACCGCCTTCGTATGTCATTGAGCAGGTCAGCAGCAAATTTGCTCCCTACAACCGGAGCGTGAACGAGAAGCCACTGTTCGGACAAGCCTGGACGGCGAACATCAGAGACAACGAGGACGCTCAAGGACACTTCTTCCGGTATGGTCTATTTCCACCGAGGAACCTTGTCCCCCGACATCGCCGGCTGCCGCGGGCTAGCCGATCGAGAGATATCAACGAACGCAGCGAGAGAGCACGCGTGGACATCAACAGGCCGGGTGATAATGTCGGTCTCTACAAAGACGACGATCTCTTCATGATCAAATATCCCTACGTTGAGCCCGCCTATCCGTGGCTCAACGAACCGTACCGCGTGTGGCAGCTCGACAGCAGCTTCCACTACATCAAGCGAGCTGCCATGGATCTGACCGAGTTCCGAAGGCTCGGGGGCGGAGAAGACATCAAGATGCTCTTCCGCAACATGGACCGGAATGAACGATGGCCGCATTTTCACGCACGCGGCATGCATGTGGGCGGCTTGCCGATCGGAGGTCCTGCCTCAGTCATGTACGACCTCCCGGACGGCGATCCGATGCGCATCCGGACGGTGCAGGAAGCGCCCAACCCCGGCGTCGATAATGACATGATCGAAGTTGAAGTCCTCAATGTCAGGCAGGGGCTTGACCCTGCTCGCGGCCTGTGCCTGACACCCCCCATTCATTACTGGAGCTGGGCCCTACCGCAGGCGGAGATGGAAGAGAATGAGGACCTGCTCGAGAACCTGCTCATGGAATTTCAAGATGAGCTCGATTACCGTGACATCGATCTCGACATGGTTCCTGAGGATGTCAACGACATGGTGCAGAACCGCATCCGCCTCCAACTCGAGCAGTCCAGCATCGAGGGGCTCGAAGAAAATCGCGAACTGTACCGCCCGTGGGCCGACAACAGACCCAACGGCGCCACGCAGTTCCTCGCCGACGTGCTGTCGGGCTGCGACGACTTTTTTCTCGTGACGCCTCTCACCTGGCACCCGGACGTCGAGGAGGCCGACCTGACGCGCTACCTCAGAAGCATACAGCACGTCGACGAGGGCCCTTGCACGGAGTGCGGCTCTCGCCATGATGCCTACCCCCAGCGCTTCAATGCGACGCGTGACATGGACTATGTCGAGGTGCGCCTTTGCAGCGGCCTCGAGCTGTGGGATATGGACGAGCTCCAGCGCCTAGACAGGGACAGACAGGCCATTTTTGACGCCTGGCCTGTGGTCACGCACTCGCTTCAGCCGTTCCGGCCGCCGCCGTCCGTTCGATTCTTAACTCTGTTCCCGCGTGATAGCAGGGTGTGGTCCAAGGTCTGGAACTTGCCCTGCGAAGATGGTGGCCACGAGTTGGGCACCGTTGGCAAGTATACTCCCGGCCGGAAGCGAGCTTTCAGAGATACGTATATTGGAACCGCAGACGACGAAGAGTCCGCGCGAGACGCACAACCCGAGGTGTCACCGGAGGAGACTGACGGCTCGGAGGACTCGCCAGCCCAGGGAGCTTTTGCTTCGATGAGGAAGAGGATCAAAACCAGGGCTACGGCGGGCCATCTAGCGACAAGGGGGTTCCTGCACAGCATGGAGACGAACTTTAGGAATGGTCTAGCCAGTGTGCGATTGCAGGGAACGCGTCCCGTCATCCCAAGGAGGCCGCTGTCTGGAAGCGATCTCGATGGGATAGCTCCGACACGCCAGCAGCCCAACCAGGGAGATGCTGCCACCGTCATCCCTCCTCAGCTGCCCGTCTTCCCTGGCGGTCCTCCTGGCAGGTTGCAGCCTCCCTATGCACCGATCACGCATACGGACACTGTCGGGTACATGCTGAATCCCGGAGTCAACATTGTAGAGCTCGGTACCGAAGTGGCTCTCGAACTCAACAACCAGGTTCAAGCACACGTCTACGCCCAGATCGCCGCCCTCGGCTGCGAGGTCCCCAACAGCGAGACGCCAAACCCCGTGCCCCCTGGTCCCGCGTCCCAGTTCATCGCCGGCGGCACGACCGCCCACACGGTCCTCGTCCGGCAGCGATGGAACCCGGCCCCGTCCGAGGTGCTCTCCCTCGGCAACCGCCTCAGGCGCTACCTCATGACGCCCGCCATGCTCGCCGTCTTCGCGAACCAGTACACCCTGCCCCAGTTCCGCCAGTACGTCTGGGAGATCCTGACCCAGGAGAACGACCATCTCCTGGCCCTGCACTACCAAGCCTACCACACCCACTGGCCCTACCCAGAGCCGCCGCCGGGTCCCTGGCCTTTCTCAAGAAACTTGACGCCCGAGCAGGTGGCGGAGCACATTCCCAGGGAACCTCCGAACCCGTGGCCGCCCGCTGGCCTGCCTCCTGGGCCGCCGCTCGGTTTGCCCCCTCCGCCCGGACGCGGTCAGCC